GTATTGGTAATATCACCAGCTCTAATGATGATCAGACCACCATATCTGGCATCCTTTGTAAATGGTCATTATAGAGGCTACAAAATGTAACATTAGATAAGGCCTGAATATGGGCCTGAATTTGGCAAAGGATCCCTAATTGTAAGAAAAAAGGGCCAAGTCATCATGCTCCTGAATCTAGTATAAGATGTCATACTTTCAGGGTTGAAACATGGAAGGTTCAGCAGAGGCCTGAAGACTGCGGGACTGCACAGCTACATAAATAACAATCCAATCAGTCTGCCTAACTGGGAAATGGTAGGAGAGATTAAATTTTCAAAATTCCACATGCATGGGTATAAATCTAAATCTAGGATATGGATGATTTCATAATCAAGATCACTGGTAAAGGTAAGCAAAAACACTCGTAACAGTTAAAAACCTTATCATTATATCAATATCATACCAACAGTACTACCACAAAGCTCAAGTGATGATTGTTGTCATATTCCACATATACTACATGTATAGCACATAACAAGACCACCAGCTGCAAAAACAGAGAGCTTTGACCTTCCCAAAATTGTGCACCACATTTCCCATGCAAATGTAACTACCAACCCATCCAGAGGACAAGAAGCCAATAGGGCTGTGATGGCATTCAAAGATGTCTGACTTCTACATGATTGTGTTGCACAATGGTGGGTGGAGGGCCAGCTTACAAGTGTTTTATTCTTCCCTTCTTGACTCTTAAAAGTTGAAAGTTAAAAGACTGCATGTAGACCAATGTAAAATTGACATGGAAACAGCTCCAGTGAGGTATGAGTATCAGTCTTTAATATCATAAATCTAGTGGTGTCAGTAAGTGCTAGACAACAGACAGGTGGATGTTTGCATCCTTCCATCACCTTCACTATTCAGTATTCATAATATGTACGTCTTCATAATATGTATGTGTATTCAAACAACATTTGCCAAAAACACATCTTCACCTGCAATCCAATTGGGAGATTTCTGTAGTACACGTGTTTAAAAAAAAGCACCAGGGTCTGATATAGGGATTTTGAACACTGACACATTTGGACTGATGTCCAAGAGCCATGATAGCCAAAGCACAATTTCTTACTTACATGTACTTATAAGGCACTTCTAGGTTTGAGATGCACTCCTGGTAGTAATGTTTTGACTGAGTATGTCATTTATTATCAAGATTCTACCTCCATGGTATTAGCAACATCTGAAGATGATTGGAGGTGAGTAATTTCGGCAGACATTTGACAAATCTTAGATTTGCATACCGGATATCAGAAAGGAAACTCTGCAACAGCGATACATGTGCTGCATCTGGAGCAATCATGTCTATTTTGCATATTGCTGAACTTGGTGCAGTGTCATTTCCTATATCAAACCCAATGCCTATCAAGACATCACACATCATGACTCAAAGTGTTTTCCTATGTTAAGTTGTTGTTTTTTGATGGCAACCCATTTCCAATGTTCTCACGACCACTTTGGCTGGCATCCAGGTGTGGGCACTGGTCATTTGTTTAAATTCTGGTCACAATGAAATTTGCAATTCAGGCTCAACGAGTGCAGGACATACCAAGACTGACCATTACCATAAATGTAGGTCCACCAGACTTAGATCGCAGGAAGATTATCTGTGTGTGGATCTAAAACATCCCATGTACTTCATGATCAGGAGGCAGTTTGACTCTGTGGTGCAATATGTGGTGTGATGTAGTATGGTCTGGTATGAGTCCTGGCATGTTTATGTACATTTTGTATAACAAGAAGATGTTGGAGTCCTCCTATGAGTCAACATATAATCATCCCCCATGTGCAAGAAGTCCATTTTATCCCCAAATCACCATATTAGGAGCTGGCAATTTCTTAAGTGCTGGGAGGTCTTGTCATGGAAAGTACATGTACACTCATGTGTGCTGTCATACATGTACATGCAGTAGTATTGGGTATACATGCATTTACATATCAATGGCCATGTCAGCTTGAAGAAGTTTATAACCAGAAAAAAATCAATATTTGTAGCATTAGAGACTAATCTAGGGTCCCTTTTCTTCTTGCCACACCTAGATTTCAGCATCATATCAGTACGAGTAATTCTTCCTGATCTGACAGGGAATGGACAGGTGGACGGGCGAGCAAAATCACCCTAGTTTGCTGTATATTACTAGTAAGTCCTGGCAAGGATGCAAAATACTGAACACCTTAACCTACATCATGTTCGCTTGATTTTTTTTTCATCTGAGATGCTAGAGATCCATGATTTATTACGTGCACGCTTATTCATTTCCTATCAGTAATAAGAAAATGTCATGTTCTTCTTAGTTGCAATGACTTTCTTTTGGCGTGCTCCATTGTAAGTTGTAGTATTTGAATCCCAATGTGTCTAGTTGGGGATATCAACAAAATTTGATAAGGCTTCAGGATGCTTGCTTGCCTGGGGCTCTGATGGTGATTTAATACATGGGTTGCCCTGGATCAGCAACATGCATAACGGTATTTGTGTCATTTCCTTTTGATGGCATTGAAATTCGAAGCACCTTCGCCACAGTGCATATCAGCCCATTCTGTGAAGTGAGTGTTCTGCCAGGAAAACTGGCAAATACTTTTATACAATATTCAACACAAAATTCCAAACAATTTTTGTTAATTTTTTTAAAATATCTTGTTTCATTAATTACTGTGAATTTAAACTGACTACCACAAGTCAACAAAGCTGAGCAGGAAATTGAAGACAGGAAATGAGATAACCTATTCTAGAACCTTTGACCTAACTTCCTACCCACGTACAGTGCTAGCATGTGGGAAAATGTGTGACTACAGATTGTAAAACACGGGCAAGCAAATAGACACACCAAAAACAAATCCTCTGTATACAGAGGTAACAAGAAATTTGAATGAATAAAGAAATGGAAGCAACTACAATACCGTAAGTTACATTACGGGAATACAATAGAAATGCCTTGTGCTAAATGCTGGACTGTGTTCTTGAACTGAACTCTCAGTTTCATTCAACCTACGAAGACTGATTGCTGACTTAAAACTGTGAGGTTCATACAGCATCTATCATCAGGAGGGAACTCAGGCAGCGGACACAAGGGCATTTTTTTCTGTCAAGATTGACACCCAGTCCCAGTATAAAGAAAAGGTACAGCATAAATCAAATTGCATTTGCTCTGGGATCTTATATATATTATACAAAGCTCCAGGTATGCACCATTCTGATTTGGTTAGTGGATCTCTGCTGTGAGTTCTTCATCAACTTCTGTATGCTGGAGCTCTCTGGAATATCTGTAAGGGCTAATGTCACACAAATGACATGACTGCTATTACCATTCTATTTTGTATTCTCCCCTTTCCTGTAAAGTAATTCTCAAAGCCAATAAATGGCACTTCAGCAAATATATCAATACAACAAGTCAAACCTGGCCCTTCTTATCGATTAAAGATTAAATCGTGTCTTTTTTGCTTGCAAACCATATTCATACCACCTACAGAGATTCTGGACATCGATACGAAGGTAGAATTAAGTCTGCATAAACATTGATTGACTTGCAGCACACACGCACACACATGAAGACATGCACACATGTGCACACACACACACACAAAAAAAATCCAAAGCTTGAGACAGTTACACCCAAGAAACCATGTTCCCTGGGAAAATACTGAAATGAGCTAGCAGTAAGAAATATGCTGATAATAGAATTGAGTTGTTGTTTTCTCAATGACTGAAAGCTAGCACTTTGACAGCAACTTGCCCTGTCCCTAATCCCTATAACAACTCGCCCATGGACATGGATATGGAACTTGACAGAAAATGTTCCCCACAATCATGAAACTTGACTAAAGCTGCTTACTCCAATACCCATGTGACTAGAAGGAAGTTGTTCATTCAACGCTCATAAAACTTGACGGAATTTGTTCTGCCTATTATGCACAGATTTGAACAAATCCTCTCCATCTAACGTCCAAAGAGCTTGTCATAATCATATCAGGAACACCCATGAAACTACTGTATAAGGAATCAAATCCACCCAACATCACTGGAATTCTGATAGACTTTCTCAGCATCCATGGGACCAAGTACAACCTGACAAACTGGAGTTTACTAGAAGTATTGGGATATTCTTATCCACTCAACAGCACTGGGACTGTGGGAAATGTGGTTTACTCCACATCTACTACATTTTCATACATCACATAGATCCCAACAGAACCTGGTTCAGCCAACATTCACAGACATCAACATTTATGTGACTTGGTGAGTTGGCTTAGGTCATCTAAGGACCCCTTTCCACTGGATGGTGATCGCTGTGACCAAAACTGGATTTTGTGACCCTTGATTTTAGAGCAGGAATAAAATCCAAAATGTTTGAGTATGACTTAAAAGACAATAAACCATCTAAAATGCAAAAAAAATTTGTATGTATGAAATTTTTTGACCAAACTGTCAAATTTTTGGTCAGTCAGAGGTCACTTATTGGTCACAGTCTCTAGTGGAAAGGTGGTGTCATGTGACTGAGTAAGTTAGCTTAGGCCACCTTAGGAAACTGTAGGAAGAATATTGCTGAACTTCTCATGGTACCATACAACAATACTGTCATAATTCGTTCAACACTCTAGCATTGATAAACTTCAAGGAAACACCAACTATGTGTTTAAACATATGCAGATACCAAATCATCTCAGACTCAGACAGATGCCATGTACAAGTTCCTTGTTCTAGGAAAATTCTTATAGCTCTTATTGAAAAGTACAATGAACAGTGGACCATGGCAAATGTCAACTCCTAAGGACTATGAGTATGACCCTTTCCAGTAGCCAGCAAGTCAGGTGAGCGACAACTAAAGGGATTCAAACTCATGACCTCTTGGTCCAGAGGCAGGGTCACTAACCACCAGACTATGCATGGCACAAGTATTTTTCCTTGTCAGACCTCTCAATAGATTACCTGATTTTCTAAAAGTCAAACGATAAAGATTTTCATGACTCACCTGGCATTCCCTCTGAGTGCTGCATGGTGCAGAGCGTTGAAGCCATTGTTGTTAGTGATGGTCATGTCTGCGTTGGCATCCAGCAGTAAGGTCACCATGTCATCTCTCTTCTTACTGATGGCATCATGCAGCGCCGTGTCACCCTCAGAGTCCTGGGCACAAAAACATGATCATTTATCAGTTTTACTGCCAGGATTTATTCAACACAAACTCCAATGTTAGCAGTTTATTTTCTTTTGTCATTTTATTGGTTTGGCTATAAAGGAGCCATAATACAGCCAGCAGCTACCAAACTAGCCAGTAGATATTACAAAGGGCTGGTCAATGTAGGCAGTTCCTCTACATAATAACAATAACTTGTTAATCACTTCATCAGCACAGGTGTGTGCAAACTGTGTTATGAAAGCAAGTTATTTTATAGTTTCTGAATCTTATGCTGATGGATGAAAATAAAATTTCATTTTTATGCCTTTTTTATTGCAAACCTTTTTGCCATTGCAATGAGCTACATTGCCAAAACAACACTACCAAAGCCCACTACCAGCAGGTATTGAATCAAGCAATGATTGCATAATTGTTTAAACACATTTAGAGTTCAGTTAAAGCTCATATTGAAACCACAGTACCCCAAAAAACTTTTCCAAGAGTACTTGGTGATAGAGGTACTAACTACACCTGAATATAAATTTAATTTTCTGATGAAAACCTGTCTATCCTCGGTTTGAACCAAGGCAAGGCCCAATTAGTACTGATCACTTTCATTGAAATTCTATACCTCTGTCTGGAAATCACATTAGTACAATACAGTTTCAGTATATCGACCTAAGATTTTGAAACAAAATTATTTCAAGGCACTCCTTCTCCACAGTAAATGTACATATTATGTGCAGTTTATATATTAATTCTGGGCTATAGAGGTGTGTCAAAAAATGCAATGCAGTACAACCAATAGTTGAAGAGGCGTATGACAGCCTTTAAGTACTATCCATCAGTCATGACACATAATCATCTCACACTTGCACTGCTGCATCTGGACCATATTTCCAGCATGACAGAAAAATCATCAAAGTAATACACTGTCTATTGATCCGGGAACATAAAATATCCGGCCTCATCGATTTCTATAGACAGGCGGAGGGCTGGCTGTTCCAGCGCCACCTCTCACACTAACAGCTGTCCCCTCCTGGCCCCCCTCCCGACTTGTCTGGCCCCAAGTGCCTCTTATAATATACTCTGCTGTCCAACACTTCTTGATGTACGCGTGTGGCGGGGACAACAATTCACCTGCCGTGTAACATTTGCATACGCCGCGCCGGTGACATCATTGTAATGTCCTTGGATGCAGGGAACAGGGAGGCCTCCAAACCCTGGTTGACGCTGGCTTGAATAAGTTTGTTTGACATAGTTTTCTGACGCAAGTTTCTGGGCCAGAATCCACTATGAAATTAGACTTGAGCTCACTGTGTTGTTGTTTTTTTTCATCAAACACTAGTCAGCCTAATGTCATATCCTGAACATGGCACATGCCACACATGGAATTCCTGTGCATCTATGCTGGCTTCTCTAACACCTGTCTTGACCCCACCTGCCTTGCACCATTTTGATTGTTTTCTGTTCTGTAACAATTTCATCAAAGTCTACCTATGAAGACCGTACTACCGGTAGGTCAACTTGGGTGTGCACGGGTGTAGTAAGGATGTTATATATTGTAGCAATACATGACCCAAAATAATATGTGACAGACATTGGAAAAATGTCTGTGACATATTGGAGCCCTTTGCAGAAACATAGTGAATATTGCAAAGAATTAAGTAATTGCAATATCAAGAAATTGTGGTACGTGTTTGAAATGAAAGAGAGACTGTAAGGCATTTAGTAGAATGACATGTGGGTACATACAACACAGTTTCAATTCATAATCTAATGTTAGCGATATTCTACAAATTACATATGGACTTGATGCAATAATGATACACAAAAAGCAGAAGTTGTTGACAATATAATCATCTACAACTATTTAGAATCATGTTTTTAGAATAATTATTCACCAAGCCTCAGCTATATGAGCTATCCCGTGCACTAATCATTTCCTGTAGGAATGCTGCATTTCATCTCCACATTTGTAAAATACATGCCTCACCAGGGAACAATGAAATTAGAAAACATTCATTGATTGAAGCGAGGCAGTCTCGCAGGGGTCAGAGTTTGGGTCACGTAGTGTGAGGCACAGCTAATGTCGAAAATTGTTGGATCTGATGGAATAGACGTGCCAATGCTTCTTCATAATGTACAAGTCAATTTTTCACATTTGCAGGGCCTAGTATGGTTCAGATGGGCCACCTGGCCCTGCACTACATTGATTGGTTGTGAAGGGGTGCCCACAGTCCTGCCAGGTAGCAAATTGCACAGAATTGACAGGAAGGATATTGACTGTCAGATTTCTTTAATCTGAAATATGTCCGATGGGAATGAATGGATCCTTGCCCGGTGCTGTAGCAATGCTGTTAGCTTACATGAACGAACAACAAGTCGCATTTACTTGCACTAAACTGCAGCGGTGCAAAATAACCTCTCCGTGTCTGAGAATCACTTTCAGTTCTATAGGAAAGCCAATACAAAACGTTCGCTCAGTTTGACACCATTCATTTGGCAGAATCATCTTGATTGCTTGGTTCTCAGATATCATGTTTTGAACATAAAACCAAAGCAAAACCAATCAGATCCCAAATATGAGTCCCCTGCATTTGTGATGACTGGAAGGCTGACATTTTATTACATGTATTAATATGCACCTTGTAGGTAAAACTGCAGCAACAATTTTACGGATTGTCAAAGCAACTCTACTTCCAGCTTCATGGGTCTCAATCTAACGTGTTTTAGAAATTGAAAACTAGGAATGCCTAGCTTTTTCTTGCAAAACTGTCATTCAATATCATGCAGACCAATCTAAAACAAAGTCTTGCTTAGATTTGCCACATCACCATTTCATGGTGGTACAGGTAGTTGTAATCTGATTCTTGATGTCTTTAATATTGAGCAAAATTCTGACAGCCACAATTACTTGCTTGACAGTTACCCAGGCGTGGCACCATTGATTGAGAGGCCTGCTGATGGATTTCTATGCAAATAAGGGCATTACTATGCAAAAATTTATAGTTCATTCTACACACAATAGGAAATACAGAGCAGTAAACCCGATATTAATGTCTTGTCATTGCAGATCCTTAAACTTATGTTATGTAACTGTCCCATAACAATTATCACACATGATGCACACCTATACAAATATGGGTTTTCATGTGATGATATGCACATACTCATGGTCACATACACACACACAGACGCACAGAAACCAGACGTACTCTCGCTGCATACGGTAGTTTAATGCGTCTACCCAACAGCTCTATTATTGGTGGCATGGGCAAGGCGCCAGGTGAGATGAAGAAGAAATGTGATATGGTTGGTCGGTGGAAACTTGGCTCCTTAATACATGTATGTCAGGTGAGAGGCTAACAAAGACAGCGTTCAAATGAGACCCTTGTAAGTATGATATGACACGGGGACATGGGGACACAGAAATGATGTGGTTTAGTTGACATGAAAAGCAGGAGCAATGACACTTGCGTGTATTTTAACCCTATTTTCTTTAATATACCTTCACATCTACCACAAACCACACCTTGTTTTTCACGTTTACTCCATCTTGACCTTATGACAATTCCTACATGATGTCTAATTTCCTTGTGATAGGAAATAGGGTAGAGGTGTCTCTATAACTACAGAACCCTCACTGTAGTCAAATTGAGTTATTACCATCACTACAAGGTGGAACAAAAAAGTGCAGAACCTAATGCAAAACAACATAGGAGGGCCACCTTTGATTGTATAAAGGTACTGCAGTGCAACCAAAATTTACATTAACCTTTTGGCACTATCACCTTTGTCAAACTTTTAGTCATAGAGTATAAGAAAGTGTACTTCCAACAGGACAGAGTGGTAGGGGAATGTGTACAATGGCCAATACAGCAAATATGACACCACTCCAACAAGATCCCATAATTTTTATTGGGCTTATAAGAGAGTCTATGTGCAGCATGGACCTACAGGGGGCAGTTTCAAAGGATCAATATGAATAGACAGGCCTTCATGACATTGGTTATTGAATATAGTTTTTCCTGCAAGGGCAAACAAAAATGTCAACCTCACCAGCATCTTTAGCTGGGAAATAAATGATATCATTTTTCATTACCATTATTGATTTTCACTTACTTAAAGGCATTGCTCTAGATTGCGAGTGATTTGGACCATATGGGACTCATACTTTGGCCCTCAGTTAGAGTAAGGGGAAACTACACTGGTGGTTGACAGTCTATATGGCGAATTTGCATGCATAGCAGCACAGATCAATCCAATCATTCAGAAAAAATACATACTTTTGTCCTTCATAGCCAAATGAATATTATCAAATGTAAGCCTCAGATTGATTGGAGACTCCATGACAAATTCTCCTGTCATCTGCTTTTGAAGTAGAAGCCATTTGCTGCCATGGACCTTTCTTGGACACACATAAATCACTTTTAAATGCCAATGCCCTTTCATATCCTTGCCAAAAATTCTCCTCCCATGGGACAAGCTAAGGTAGGGGAGTCACATAAGACTTGTGTTGTAGGGTGTTTAAATTCCAAGTCAAAGTTAAAGGCTACTTTGACCTTTACCTTTCATCATTGACTGAGCATAATTTTTAAAGCCATACATGGAACCTGATAATGGCATGGAGTACCTACCAAAAGGATGGAAAACTTCTTTAGAGTTCTGATATACCGTACAACAGCACAATCTACCACAGGAAGACAAGACATACTTGTAAGTGACCCCCTCCCCCCCAACTCTTAACTTAAACTGATTGGAACACACTCTAAAACATGTTACATTTGCATGGCATGCACCAATATCTGATTTTCTAAAAGTTTCCATCATACCAGAACCATTCAAAATACTTTATCGCTACATCCAACAATATACAGAAAGGAGGAATTCTTACCTGTAGACTAGGATGAGCACCTAGCTCTAGAAGACTCTTGACCACGCCCACATGCCCCTTGTTGACTCCGATGTGCAGTGCTGTCTGTCTGCGTTTGTTGCGAGCGTTCAGGTCGGCTCCAGCCCGTGCCAGGTGCTCGATGATCGTGGGTTCATCCCCGAAGGCTGCGTGGTGCATGGCTCGGTCACCATCTTTGTCCTGGGCACAAGACAAATCAAAATATCACACACACACCCTTCTGGACAGACACTCCATCAAACATAATACAACATAATGAGACTACTTCCAGTTAAATCTTTGGACTACCTTTTCATGACACATGGATTCCCCAGTGACTACTGGAGTAACATTTAACTTGGTCTAGAAGCATGTTTATGGGTCATGTGGACAAGCCACAGAAAATTATTAAAACAGGTGAAAGCTGGTACTGTGTATTCTTCCTTCTTGTTTATTCTCTCTATATCTTCAGATAATTTGCTACTCATGAGTTTACCTTGATAGATTTCATGATAGGTACCTTCACCACATCTTATGGCCACATGTATTATTCTTTGAGTTGCTAGAGAAAGATTCTTGCATGATAGCTTTTAATTTGCGGGATACTACTCCAAGTAATCATATGTGTAGTAAGTTCTTTGTTTCCTTCCTTGAGAGGGGGAAGGATTGTGTGAAATTGTAAGAGTGTCACTGACTGTTGGGCAGGTTCTTACCTCTACCTCCAGGTCACATGAGTGTCTTATAAGACAGCGCACCACATCTATGTGGCCGTTCTGGCTGGCTGCCTGGAGAGCCGTGTGCCCAGCAAACACACCATTGGCCTGGGGAGAGGAATCAGCATCAGTGTTGATAACAGTTTAAGGTATATGTATTAGCTTGAATGGTGAACAAGTGCCCCCTATTGGCAATTAAGAGAACTGCATAATAATCCAGACAGCTGATAGGGTCTATGATAAGGAATCCTATAATCAGTGTTGGTAGCTTTGAATGGTGCACAAGTGCCAGCTATCAGCACTTAAAAGAACTGCACTGTAGGCCAGACAGAAATAATGACCATCTGTAGCTGTACATGCAATCAAAACCTGATATCCAGAGTTGTAAAACATGAGCACAAGAGCATCTTATGTGCTGTTTACGTCTGGGTGAAATGTAGCAATAAACGACATCATAATAGATCTTCACAGACAAAAAGGAGCAGACTCATTTTCAAGGTTCTTTTTTTTGGACTTCTGGTTCTACATACAAACCAAATTCAGAAACAAACATCCCTTGGAACTCCACAAAATGAAGGTGTGATCCTTACATCTGACTCAGATCTGTTCAGGATCTCCTCCACTTTCTGGTTGTCCCCGTTTGCCGCTGCCTTGACCAGTTCCTCGTTGACATCACCAGACACATGGGTCTCGAACAGTTTCTTCAGCAGGGCAGACAGACGTTCTGAAATGGTGATCAGCTGCTGGTCAGTAACGTCACTGGCAGACAACAAAGTAACTTAACTGTCCTGATGTGGATGAGGAACACAGTTCTCAATCTGCTTCTACATTTAATTAAGTGAAGATAAAGACTTCCAAAAAAACTGTTACATCCAAACGGTTGAGTTATTCATATACCAACAGTCAATTTCAGACCAACAAATATTGCTTGTGTCATGGGGGGGCAAAAGTTATTTCTTTCAACATTTGAACACTTCCCTTTACATTAATACTTGTGCTCAAGCAATGCAATGCAATGCAATGTATCAAACATAGAAGTACATTTGTATATTTACTCCAGTAATGCAAACATTCTTGTGTGTCAAAATTCATCTATTGAACAGATCCAATTTGCCACTTTAAATTGATGTGAAAGTTTACAGTTTCACAGTGCGCAGTGTAGGCTTCGCACTGATCATGAATTGCACTGGTAAAACAATTGGACTCCTACCCCCAGATGAATTGCCGAGAGCTGCCTCTGATGAAGCCACCTTGGCCACCGCTGCAGGGTTGTAGGTCCAGGATGTTCCACACACCTCCACCTTCAGGTCACTGTCATGGTAAATCTGCTGCACTCTGCCAATCTTACCAAGGGTCTATGGACACCAGGAAAGAAAGATGTGGGTTATCTTGAGTGGAAGTGTTCAAGTAACTTCAAACAACCAAAACTTCAGGGATTTATGACTTCATGACTAGATCAATGTTATATTTTGACCATGGCCAAAAACTAACTACAAAAATGCTGCAGAATCTTATTTCACAGATTTCCTTCCTGTTAGCCTTCTTTCTCTCTAGTAACAAGATTTCGAAAGCAGATCTTGATTTTTCTTCAACACTAATTAAAAAGCAAGAGTGATAGCAAAATCAATACGAGATGATGTAACAGAATTACTCCATAGCTCAGATAATCACATACCTCTAGAAAGTCAACTGCATTCTAGAAACTAAACTGAAGAAGCTGTTTCTGTCCAGTTTGGGTAACAACTGCAACATACACTGCAGCATAACAGCACAACTTACCGGTAGCATGGCATCTGCCCACTCCCCGTGGCCTCTCTGTAGCATCTTGACTCTCTCCAGGTCACTGTTGATCTGCACCAGGTCCCCTACCTGGAAGTTCTCCCTGGCAGAGGTGTCGGCACTGGCACCAGCAGAGGAGCTGGACGACGTGCTGACTTTGGTCAGCACTGCTGGGTTGAAGGTCCACCTGGAACATGTAGAGATAATCAACTTTACATTCATGAAAGAGTTATTGTAAAACTAAGACAGCAGAGCAGTATGAAATTGTGCCAATACACTGCCTCCTGCATCACGGTGCTAGAAATAAAGGTCTCAAGCCATAAGAGAGCAAGGAGTCAAACCTCTTGTTCACTGAGAAGACACCAGGAGGCAGTACAGTTGTTCCACTTTAATTCACAATAAGAGTGCACAAATTAACTGAATTGTGTGTGTGACTGATCTCACCTGTTCCCACTGGGGTAGGACACCACAATGTCATGGTCCTCGTCAATCCCACAAACAGTACCAGTAGAACCAAGGGTCTGAGGACGGCAACAACAGAACGTAACAATATAGCCTTATTTTCTTTAAAAGGGAAAATGGCATTACAGAGTATAATACATATTCAAAGTCCATTTTATGCCAAGTAGTTTCTACGCTGGTACTCAACTGGATAACAACATGAGCAAACATTCTTGCATTCACATCATCTTAATCAAAACTCTGCCTTTCTTAAATTGGATCATAACATAAATGGAGTTAAAAAACATTCCAGCACTTAAAAATGTAAAAAAACAAAGTAGCTAATCTAGTATAATGCCGCACTACATACTAGTAACAAAAGATTTAATTCATTCATCAGCAAAACTGCAGAGTCACTCCTGTCCTGTGACGTGTGTACCTCACCTCGAACATGCCGTCCGTCCAGCCGCCATGTCCGTGCTGCAGGGACTGGACAATCTCCAGGTCCAGGTCGATGTTCACCTGGTCCCCGATAGCCAGTCCTCCAGGCCCCGCCCTGCTGCCTGCACTCTGCTCACCTGTACGGGGGAGGGGGGCACGGCTGTAGTCACCAGCGGTGTGGCCGACAAAGTTTCTACTTTTTCTCAGCCGGTTGCCATACAGATTAGACATAAGAATATAGGCTACTAATCAATGGATATTCATAAAAAAAGTCTTCTTGTCTTTCTGGTAATGCTGGCTGTAAGATTGCATCACTTTTATGTACTTCGTAAGACGCCATCAGTAGACAGAGTAAATGAATAAAAGCTTGGGAAGAAAACATTCGATCTCTGGGTACACCCTTCCGGAGCAAGGCTGTCATTCATCAGCTGTCTGCGTGTGACCTGCCCTTTGTTTGTGGGCATTCCTTTGGACAAAAGACCTCCACGGTTCATGGTACTTTGGGTGACACAGTTCAAACTGTCTAGTTTGCATGGACAACATGGTCTGTAGATGTATCACTACTTCCATGGGTGATACTGGACCAGTCGGGTCATGGTTCAGCCTTTATTTTGCCATGGTTGACACTCGATCAAAAAAGAAAGGGAACAGACCACACAAAGGATGACAGGGCATGTGGTGCCAGGTTCAAGTTGTCTAATTCATATCACTTTTAAGTGCTTCTTGAAACATAATACATAAAAAAAGGGAAAACTGAATATTGCAGTAAGATCACAGGCATCAATTTGCCACACTTTCCCTTAAAAAAATGTGGATTATCATCCATCAGTTTATCCACCTATCGATGGAACTAGAAGCAGCTATTATCTCTACTGTATTATATAACAAGTGTGTCTTTCTCGAACACATTTGAAGTGAATATTCATAGCTCTAAATGACATCAGTCACTTTTGTTCTCTCCATGTAGTGTAAAAGTGTAAAAGGAATATTCCTACCAAGCTTACCCAGACAGGGCAAATGGTCTCTATAGAAGGTGCCTCCTTTGGCGTCATTGACAACTTTCAAGTCCGTCTGAAACATGACAACACACATCAACTGTATAACATGCCGTATATTTGTATCTGCTTTGTCCTGGGGTACAAATGAGAGCAGCTCACTGAATAGTGTTTGGCACAGACAAGCTGCAATGTTTTTCTTCTGACAGAAGACAATTAAACGTGTTGAAAACAAACATTGTTGGTAATTAGCCAAACCCTAATTATGAGGTACACAAAAGACATTGTTTTACACCCGGGCTTTGATGCACTACCTAAGGTGATTAGCACTAAAATGTTATTATGTTAATGACAATAGAACATTTGCTTACAGATAAAGAGTAAGTTTTGTATCTCATTATAAAATTTCATTGACACTTTCAAGACACTCCTCACCATTCAATGCTTTCCTAAAAATGTTTTCTTTTCCTTTCTGTCATTACATCTTTCAGACATGCTGGTCAAACATAAAGGCACCAATGTAGATATTCTCAAGTCTCTTGGTGAAAATGAATACATAGCTTTAGTTAGGGATATCCTCTTAGATGTGACATAAAGCTGTAGGTCCCAGTGGGTGTGGATCAAACCTCACAATCCAGTCTACAGCTTGTACTTACTGTTTAACTGGTGTGTTCACATCTAAAGGCAGGTTACCTGTTATTCAAACAAACAAACAAACAAAGAAACTTACCATTCCTTCAAACCCAACCCTGTACAAGTTCTTGGCTCCATTGTCCCACAGCACATAGGCAGCACTGCGAGGACTGGAGGCGCTCCAGTCCTGGATCTCGGTAACCTTCCCGCGCCGCCCGTTACCGCCGTCCTGGTCCTCCCACTGCCAGTCTACCCCTCGCACAACACGAGCCCCGGGGAAAATTCCGCGAGCAGCGATCTTCTTACTCTTTCTACGCTGCTCCATCAGACTCCTGATAACAGAATAAAGGAGATGTTCAACCACACTTTAACACACTGACTTGAAGGTTGACATTAACAGTAATATTATCCAGCTTATATCAGTACCAGCAGTTTCTTCTCATTTCAAACAAAATGACTGGATTCTGTCTAGACAGAATCAAGAGTCTAGCATAAAACAGATTATCACTGTTTTCGTTTACATGACACTGAAGTTCTAATTTTCACAGCTGCTCACAGAGGATGCATAAACATGTTTAATACAAAAACATAGCAAGAACTCATTGCCCCAGACAGTAAAATACACTAACATTAACAGTTCTGTATCTGTATCTGTATCTGTATAGCCGGTATAACCGCCTTTCGGCGTAACACACCAGCTTCGCAGGCACGCGGCGCGGCGGCAGCTGGCTATATTACACCGATCGACTTGTTACACCTAACCCTTGAACTTCTAGCTCTAGACATTGTTCAAAGCTATCTATTGTTCTAATGTTGAAAATGGGACTTTGCAGTTTACAATACAAAACGTAAACAATGTTCTATAGCAATATTACAATGTATAACATAATGCCAAAATGAGAATGATTCTGGCATTCACGTACCTCTCAGTTCCAGGAGTGGCTATTCTATAGAATCTATGACGTAAGTTGTGCTTGTCTCCGTGGTAACAGGAGGAGCACAGGTCATAGTTGGTGCATTCTGCACACTTCCACCTGATTCCAAAGATGGGCTGCATACGGCAGGTATCACACATGGTGCCATCATGTTTGATGCCTAGGAGAACGACAGGAAAAATACATGTAAAGAATCAATTATAAATTGTGCTATTTCATGTGTGTAAACAGAAAGTTGGTTGCTCAACATTGATCTTAGCATACTCCGAGATGAAATTTCCTATTAGTTTATATGTGAAAGTCACAGATTCCAAAAAGTTCAGACTTTCCAGCTCACCTGTAGGGCTGCTGTCCAACATTCTCAGGTCGAACGCTCCAGCACAGCGGTAGTTCGCTGCTGTGCCGTTATCCCACACAACCACCACCTCCTCTGGGCTCTCGAAGTTCCTGACAGTTCCCACGTGCCCCTCCCCTCCGTCCTGCTTCCCCCACTTCCAGTCCGGCCCGCGGATCACGCGTGCACCCACGCCCTCCATCAGGTTGACTCGCACACGGCCAGGGTTGGCGTTACTCGCCACGACGGCCACGGTGGGGCTGGCGTTGGCGGCAGCCGTGGCACCGCCATTCAGGTTTCCCTCGCGCTCTCGCTCCCGCTCCAAGTTCAGGTTGTGATTGGCTGCGCTCATGGTGGCGATCTACTCACATGCTGATGAGCAGAAAGACTTTCGCCATCTGTAAAAAAAAAATAAAGAGTTTTTCTTTTGCACTTGAGAATATGGAGTAAGAGATCACCATCATAACTGAAAACATTTGTTCAAGCTCCTACTATACTGGCAAACAGAAAAGTGCATGTGTGGTATAATTTTTAGTGTACATAACCAGCTGCTCAGCCTATATCCATATTAAATCAGTAATATAAAAAGGTTAAATTTGAGTTGATCTATTTTTTCTAGATTGGACACTTCTAGACAAGGAGTAACAATGTTTTGTTTAGCATATGTTCCTGAAATACCATTCATGTTGTTACAAGGAAATTTGTTTGTGGTTTTGTTTTCCTATAAATAGTTCGTTAGCGTTATATGGTTTGCATGGTCATGTGCCATTACACAACATACGTATCTAGCTCACATTCCTTAACCCCAAATAATTGTACTTTACACTGATTTTAGAAATCAGACAGTGATTCAACGCTACAGACTGCGACCTACTCTAATACTACCATACGTCTATAAGTGCCCCCCTCCCCAAAAATTCGCTTGGCGACTTCCGTCCACAAAACAGCCGATTTTGACGACTGTACCACGGCGACTTTTGTCTAGCGTCGGCAACTAGCGTTATCACACTACTGTCCGACCTATGCGCTACTAAAAACAACCCGACATACCATTTCGTTCGTGTGTCCTCGATCTCTAGGTTCTTCCTCCTAGCTCAGCTCCAGCTCCGATCCTGTCACCCGAAAATACTTGAAGTCGTACATAGATCGGGTACAGCTCAGAGCAGGAAGTGACGCAACCTTCGGGTGAGGGTACCGAAGATTGGTAACGGGAGCATGGTATTTTCCCATATATGCAAATATAATTCATTAATATATGCAAGATTTATGCATACATGCAAGCACGTGCATTCATTACTACAACTTGTATACCCTATGTATCATAAGCAATTCATTCTACATATAACGTTACTCCTTTGCACTCATTCTTTCTACCTCAACCTAAGGCACTCCCACATACCCCTGCTCACTCTTACGCACCCTGAGCACTCTCACGCACCCTGTGCACCCCCATGCACCCTGCGCACTCTCATTCAACCTCCCCAAACCTCATGCACCCTCACGCACCCTGTGCACCCCCATGCAACCTTCTTAAACCTGATGCACCCCCACGCAACCTGCGCACTACCATTCAACCTTGTTAAACCTGATGCACCCTCACGCACCCTGTGCACTCCCATTCAACCTTGTTAAACCTGATGCACCCTCACGCACCCTGTGCACCCCCATGCAACCTGTGCACTCTCATTCAACCTTCTTAAACCTGATGCACCCCCACGCAACCTGTGCACTCTCATTCAACCTTCTTAAACCTGATGCACCCTCACGCAACCTGTGCACTCCCATTCAACCTTGTTAAACCTGATGCACCCTCACGCACCCTGTGCACTCCCATTCAACCTTGTTAAACCTGATGCACCCCCACGCACCCTGTGCACTCCCATTCAACCTTTCCAAACCTGGACACTTATTTTCTATCCTATAAACCTGATTCGCAGCTACTCACGAAGAGCCATTAAAATGGTAAACACATACTGTCTTATCTACTCCCTTTCTTTATTACTCTTTCTTTATATAATGGCTTGAGGAGAAGGGGTAAGCACCTGACACGTACGTTTTAAGGTGTAAAAAAGGTAATTATTTCTGTAGTTGCAGTTTTCGAATAGTTGCAGTAATAAAATTACAACGGTGGAATATTGACAGCTGAATTTGCTCAAGTGAATGTTTAAAAAATCAAGAATTACAGTATTTGTGGGAGTGCACAGGATGCGTGGGGGTGCATCAGGTGTGGGAAGGTTGAATGAGAGTGCACAGGTTGCATCGGGTTTGGTAAGGTTGAATGAGAGTAAATCAGGTTTAAGAGGGTTGAATGAGAGTGCACAGGGTGCATGGGGGTGAATCAGGTTTAAGAGGGTTGAATGAGAGTGCACAGGGTGCGTGAGGGTGCATCAGGTTTAAGAAGGTTGAATGAGAGTGCACAGGGTGCGTGAGGGTGCATCAGGTTTAAGAAGGTTGAATGAGAGTGCACAGGTTGCATGGGGGTGAATCAGGTTTAAGAGGGTTGAATGAGAGTGCACAGGGTGCATGAGAGTGCATCAGGTTTAAGAGGGTTGAATAGGAGTGCACAGGGTGCATCAGGTTTAAGAAGGTTGAATGAGAGTGGGCAGGGTGCATGGGAGTGAACAGGGTGCATGGGGGTGCACAGGGTGCGTGAGGGTGCATCAGGTTCGGGGAGTTTGAATGAGAGTGCACAGGGTGCATGGGGTTGCACAGGGTGTGTGAGGGTGCATCAGGTTCGGGGAGGTTGAATGAGAGTGCACAGGGTGCTTGGGAGTGCACAGGTTGCATGAGAGTGCGCAGGGTGCGTAAGAGTGAGCAGGGGTGTGTGGGAGAGCCTAAGGTTGAGGTAGAAATAATGAGAGTGCAAAGGGGTAACGTTATATGTAGAATGAATTACTTATGATACTTGGGGTACACAAGTTGTAGTAATGTGTGCATGTGTTTGCATGTGTGCATAAATTTGCATATATTAATAAATTATATTTGCATATATGGGAAAATACCATGCTCCCGTTACCCGAAGATTGCCGAAAATGGAGCCTCGGATCCCCGAGTGACGTCACTTGGACCTCCGAGCGTTGACAGCCGCTTCCTTTGATAAGGAGGTTTCAATATTGAATGCCACACGAACGTTATATCATCGTTATAGGTGACCAGGCGCCGGTAGTTTGTACAAAAACATACTGTTAGTGGTAAAACAATATAAAATGGAAGAAAACTAGTATCATCCACTGCGTTCTGCGTCTACAGTCGTATGGAAATGTCCTGTAGGCGCAGTCAGTCTTTCTTCATGCGGACTATGTTTGGGAATATTCATAACCGTTACATATTGATAATAACCAATATTGCCAAGCACTCTTCTTCTTTTTCTACCCGTATGTTTGTTATCACGTGCGTGTATGTAATGATCTGTAATCAAGATCATCAGCCTGTACATGTACATCTTGAATTGAAGGCTATGATATTATCGTGACCCGGGGCCGGGATTGATAACCAAAGCCAAGCCCGCCCGCTGGATGACTGAACGGCGTATGATGGCGACGTTTGGAACAGTCGACGTTTTTCTCTGCAGCCATGCCCCATCAGAAATATTCATGTGTGTTGCACCCAAACTAGGTGCACGTAATCTAGTTGAGACTTTATATATCAAAATTGTTCAAAGTGATACTGACAGTAACACTAATGACAACAGCATCGCATATATACGGAATATCGACATCTTTAATTAATTTCTGGACATATATTTATTTCATTTAACAATTCGTATACTTAGCATAGTTACCGGTGACAATTATCCTGAGCTAGCCGACAAAGAAATGTTGCACCTGGGAACGAAGAATTTGTTACAACAACAATGTGATAATCTGCAGCTGGTGACATATATACCTCTGAATCCAGATCATGCTTCAGTATGGCAGCATTCGATATCTACTTTCTTATCTCCCTCACTCACTCATTCAGCACCGCATGCTCCAGGGAGCGTAGCTCCTCTCCAAGTTGACTTCCAGTTCACTTTCTTATCAGTTAATTTAAATACCATGTCGCCACAAACTGTCTGGTGTATTAATTTGGCTAACTTTCAGCTTTTTAACTTTCGCTCTGCTTGTACAAGTTGCGAAGCAACCGGCTACAACTTAATAATGTACGGTCACCTTTAGTGACAGCATCAGCCTAAAAAGTTATCAATTATTTCTTGGTCCCAAATCATCATCACGTTGCATACTATGACAAGAGATAATAATCAGCCAAAAATAGAAGGCTTGTCTCTGGACTATGTGATTTACCACACGAAAATACATTCAATTACAATTACAATATCTCACACTTGAACTAAGGCAACCACGATCCATAAACTATTCTTTATTCCGTATATACATATAATCCGAGTAATGTGGACTTTATTTCTGCAGCATTTGTTGCGCTGAATGATGGAATGTTTCCCGAAGATAATGAATGATACTAGTTTTCCAGGAGGTTGTCGTCTTCCTTTGGCGGGCAGGGCTTCGGGTCTTGTGCCCCCGGCTGGACGCTCTTCACCTGCTCGGTGACAGGGATGCCCGACCCCGGGCCGGACACGGGCAGAGTCGTCCCCACAGTGCCGTACCCTCCCGGGCCCACCAGCAGAGGATCGCCGGCTATGCGGTCCTGGAGTAGGAGACAGAAAATCGCTTTATTCCTTTTCGTGCTCAAATAAAGTCATATCACAAACAAAGTGACAAAGGACACATATGACATTGATATCATAGCCAGTAAAAGAAAATGCACCGCACAGTGTATATACAAAACGGCAAAGGTGATTTCAAAGTATACATGAGACAATTAGAAAGATTGATAGTATTTTTCTATACAGTACCAAATTTATGACACATGCAAATCAAGAGGCATATGCCGACCGATGATTTCCTGTCCCACATACTGTTGACCCTCCCAGCGAGAAAGGTCGCGGGATGCGCGCCGTCGCAAACGTGACAAAACAAACGACAGGCATATTTGAAAACACGACGCTGAGTACCAATTGAATGATTAAATTTGACCCGGATAATCATCCGTACATAAATTTGGCCGACAATACTAGTAAACGTTATTTGCACAAAAACATACGATCTAATAATAAATGATATAATATAGAACTGTCGCACCTTAAAATCCTCCTGCAGCAGCATCTCCTTCTGCATGTACCCAAGCAGGAAGCTGGGCACGAGCAGGGAGATGGCGACCGTCACACCGCCCAAGCACAGTAGAATCAGGCCCGTCAGTTTACAAGCATCCAGTTTGTCGTTTAGATCTGACGCGCTTGAATCCACGACCGGCACGCCGCCGAGGTAGCCAACAATCTCTCGACGTTGGGGGATCAGGTAGCCGATTAAGATGGCGACGACGCCGAACGCGAGGAGGCTGAGCCCGCAAACCATCGCCAGCTTGCAGAAGATGTAGGTTGAACGCTTCGGCTTGGGGTTGATGAGGTAGCGAAAGTCATCGGAGATGTAGGGGTTGTCGTGAGGGTTGGAAGGGTCGGGTGGTCCGTACCCGGCACAGTCTTCGTAGAAGCGGTGCAGGTAGGAACGAACGCCGAACTGAGGCGGGCAGGAGTACGAGGAGGAGGAGGAGGGGCCGTCGGTGTCATCCGCCATCTCGCCCGGTGGTCTCACGCTTTCCTGCTGAGGGGTTGGGAAAGGTGCACCGTCCCGAGCTCAGACCCTGCTACAGCGCTCAACGTCGTTCCAACCTCGCTCCCTACTGAGTCCGGCGCGGACGTCAGGAGCACCCCCAGCCCCCTGGAAGCGATGGGAATTCTTGGTCTGGCCGTGCGTGGGAGTGAAGGACAGATACTGTACATTTTGCGCAGCGCGGTACACGATCAAAAATTCACGCACGTCCGAGGGTTTGTCAAGAGAAGCCTCGTTTCCATTTTCAACTTTCACGCTTCCGATATACAAAAGCAAACAGAATCCATCCAACACGCTATCTCAAACTTCCACACAGTTAACAGAGACAAATTTGTCCTTTCATATTTTCACATGAGGATGACGTCAATTTAAATGTGCAAGTTGTGCAGCAAATCCGGTAATCGTTACCGTGCAATACATGATGAATCCCAAATTAAAGATGTCTCCGGTGGGGTTTGATAACATCGGTTTCGTGCTCAGTATCAGCGCTCTACTCATCTACTCCGTTAAGCTGCTACCCTTCTGAATAGTACTACAGTACTACACCGCAAAATATTGTACTTTCTTAATAATCTAGGCAATGCAAATCACAGTATCTTATTCTTTTACCAAAACTCTGCGAGCAACAGGTGTCGGATCGGATGTCACTCATTTCGGCACTATTACAGCCGGGTTTATCGTCCACTGTGGTCATTTCCTATGATCTGTAGAACCGCAAATATGGTTCATATCTTCATGCCGATGGGTTGTCATTTTGCTTGTACATGATACTTATAATTATGCATTTTATTCAATGTGAATGCATGATCTTTAATATGTTACGCGCTCCATCCGTAGTCACGTTTCAAGGGCAAACTTGGCAAGTCAACAGCCATGGTAGCCTGGATCTGTCCTTGGTGCTGATTGGGCATCATTTCAATGGTCTACTTTTAGTTCAAATTCTTTTCATTGATTCTTTACTAAACGTCAGTGCCATTGATTTCACATCCCAGACGTCACTCATAAACCTCTAAACCATTCTTCCTGCTCTCATGCGTACAACATCCATAGTTCTATATCCTGTTTATGTATCCTTAACACGCAGTTCCGCCCTCACTATTAAGTATGCCCACATGCACCTCAGCGTGATCCGCGCAGTGTGCTTAATAGAGGCTTATGTCGGATCTAATCACAGTGATTAGGAGACCCGTGGTTGCATCTGTCACAGCATGCAACAGAACAGACAGCCGAAATTTCAGAAAGCGGTTCTGATTTATTCATGATCATGTCACTTCTTTAGCAAGAACATATCACAATCACTTCGGTCTTGGCATAAAAATACTAAAAGATATGCCCTCGAAGTCCCGTGTCACGTCACGGAGTATTATGTTTAAAAAATGATTATCATTTCGAGCAAAACAAATATGCCGTTTCGTTTAGGATGACAGACCCGCATCTCCCGACTTTGACACGGGGACAATCTGACGCACAGAAGGACTGCTAATCAGTCCCGGGTGCCAGACTTCGGAAGCGCGGTGACGACAATAAGGACGTCATCACACTGGGCATACTTATTATGTCATTTTCGCTTTCACTGTGTGTTTGACAAGCTCTTAAGATCTATTGGCTTTTGGGTAGGTTGGAATATTAGATATAATAGATGAGTCGGCGGGTCCTCCGCGTTTCCGCCAGCCTGGCGGCAAGCACATACAGCTCGGAACGCTCTCTTGGTGATGGAGCAGGCTGTATCCAATATCTAACAACTTAGGCTTAGACGGGCGATAGCTCATTTCGCATATAATCCTAGCAAGACCTGATCCTTTTCCTTCAACTCATGCAATGGGTGAGCCACAGGAAGAAATCAAAGAAGCCAAGGGGATTTCGTTTATATTGGCCCATGCATCAAGTAGACAGCACTACTCTATAGCTAAGTAAGCTAGATACAAGCTGTGGACAGCAAAATCCATCTGTCTGATTTCGGCGGCATAACAGAACATAAGGCAATGTCATTGAAAAGGTTCTTACAAGGATACTTTCTATAATACATTGTACTGTAATACAAGTGCTCTTAGATGCTAAATCAATCTTATGCCATATGTAGGACTGCTGGATAGGGGAAAACAACAAAGTCGGTTCATTCTAATAATTACTCAAGAGAATGAAATGTAACATGATTAACAGTTCTGAACCCTTTTTATTCATTTCACAGATACAAACGATTTTACAATACTTTTCTTCTCTATACATATGTACAGTATATTTACAATTCTCATAGATATGTTCAATACACCATCATGTATATGACATCCTTTTCACATGGTATGTACATGCTGAGTTTTGAAAAGGATGTACTGTACAATAGAGATTTGTCCTGGCACATACGTGGCAGCTCAGCTCCTGAAGCACTACCTGTCCACCATGGCCCCTTCAGTTTAAGGCACTCACTTTTGCCAAGATCAACAGAAAATTGTCCTTAAAGTCATTTCATGGTAATACTGTTACCACTTTACGCACCAAGCAGCATACTTTTTACTAGATGTGAAGGTTCTCTGACAGAATATATAACAGTGCTCTGAGCCGTTCTCCTGTGCAAAATTAATTCTACTTTTAAAAATTGACCAACCAGCGTAACTGAAGCATAAATGCACATGATATAAAGTGCTTTTCAATCAAGTACAAATATTTCTGTACAGGAAAAGTGCACAAGATTGGTTGATACATGATCTTAGCTGCATGGCATCTAAGAGGTTTGCTTAAGTAACCAAACTATGCTCCAGTCACTAAGTGGGCACCCATCTTCCATACGTGTTGTAGATGAAGGACTGCTTGCCTGTTCCTTCTGGATGGTACGTCGCTGTGCAGAGAGTACAGTGTTGTATGTTAGGCATTGATAGTGGAATGATGTGTAACCTCATAATAACATTAACAGCCTGTTTTCAATTGATAAGAACATGCAGTTGCCATTTCCTATTCCTGATGCCCCAAAGTACTCCTTAATGATGTCACATAGAAGGATGACTTCCAATGAAAAAAATGCAGTCACACCATTTCTGTTTTGCATTTCTACAGACTTGACTGGCCTCAGGGATTGCTTCATATCTGTCACTTCTACAGAGTATCCGACCCTTAAAGGGTCGGTAAAAGACTGACCTGGTCCTGGCTGGTCTCGCTCCTTCCCCTTAAACGTCCAGCGACTGGTGTTGGACACAAACATGGAGCTGGACATGTAGTGTTTCTGTGGACCTTTATAGTCCACCAGGTTGTAGGCCCCAGGGCCTGGGTCAGGTATGGGGTGGGGGAGGGGCATGGCTGGGGCTGATATACACAGGTAGTGCTTCATCCTGGAGGAAGACAACATCTACAAATTAGTGCAATATCATGGGCGCAAGAAAAGTAATAAATTTCCTTTTTTCTCATGCCACCAGGACTGAATAAAAGAAAAGTAAATGTCCATTTCTGGTCTTTTTAACTACAACTCAGGCATTTAGTACTTACGGAAACTTTTGCCCCACACGCTTGTCAGCTTCCTCAAAGGGGCGATATTCTCCTGGACCTGGGTTCTGTTGAGAAAGAGATAGATACAGACAACTTGAGTTTTTGTTATTTATCAATGACAACCATCAATATAAAGTCAAGAAAAACCCATTCAAACTAAGTGGATAAAAACCCCAGTGTACCTCATTTAGGTTGGCTTTCCTCATTCGATCTGAGGTGGACTTGAAACTGGAGAATGGGACTTTGACACTTTGCTTCACCTGATGATCATTGATGTCATAATGCCCTGAGGAGTGACAGAGACATGTCAGCTTTAAGTATGATTTTCATTTTTCATAGCCATACGAACATAGAATGCCCATCACTCATTAGTCATGTATTTTTGGCTCCAAATGATAAATGGAAAGTCATGCCAACATTGCAACCTGTTAGAAATTGGACACAAAACTTACATGGTGCTGGCACTTTGGATTTGACAATGTGGACTCCTTGTGGAGGTGGTCTTCTTGTTCTAAAGAGGGGAAAGCAGCTCATGTTAACAACTGATCCAGCATTTTAGGCAGTATACTATTGCTGCTCAATATCATAGTAATATCTAGTATTTAATGTGTTTGCTAGTAAATTGCTACCACAACTTAACATTATGCATACACACATAACTTTTGATATATTCATCAACTCAAGCAATACCAGCAGATACTGCTGGATCTATCCTACATCTAACCAGGTCTGAATTTAGAGATTATGGAGACATAGGAATGGTTTTGGTCTCCTTTAATTCATGTACTTTTACAAGACAAATTTATGACATGACATGAGATTTGTTACTTACGTTGACTTAAATGATGCCTGCACAGGTTGGCCATAGTTTTTTGCTACATTAGTTTCCACCACCTGAGGAAAAAGATAGCATCCTGCATTTAATTCACATCAATGTGACACTGAAACACATAGGGCAGGTTAATTCAAACAAAATACATAATCAACCACCTGGATTTCTTTTTGATCTAGATGTCACAACCATTACATGACAAATCTTAAGTATCATGTGTCCAATCTGTATAATAATACACAACATGGTGACTACTACACAATTCCAGGTTTGAAAAGCATTCTTACATCATACAATCATGCATATCATAGTATAGTATAACAAAACGTCAATTACACAGTATGCCTCTTACAGTGTATGTATTAGGAGCTGGCTTGTAGTCTGGTTTCTCTGTGCTGACAGCTATTGGTTTGTGGAAGGCTCCTGTGCAGCCTGCTTTGTTATAGTCTCCTTGGGTCCTCAGCAAGGATGGCAGGGCATACACAGGGCCGGGGCCAGCAGGGGTGATATGAGATTGTTTCCTCTTACTCTGTAAATGAGTGACAAAAGAGTGGCATATCAAGTAATGGTACAAATATTACAAATATCAAGACAATACCATCAAAATGTCAATATTACAAATATCAAGACAATACTATCAAAATGTCATAAATCGTTATAAAGTATCTTGTATACATAACAACAGAGTTGTAATACCTTAGAAGCAAATCCTCCCGTGCCCTTCTTGGAGAGAGATGTACTAGTGTTTTCTAGTGTCCCATGTCTCACGTATGACCCAGGGCCCGGTAGATCATTCTGGGTGGGAATAAAGGCAAATGGCAACTGTATGAAACATAATACATACAAAAAACAGTACTGATTGTGAACACGCAGGCCCCAATACTGCAAAACAGTAACTCAAAGCAAACAACAGATCTTACCATGTGTTCATCGTGGTTGAATCTTCTTGATTTGGCTCCAAATCCCTTCTTGTCAGAATTGTCAGAAACTATTGTCTGGAATTTGCTTGGAATGCTAGATGTGGCTGCTGCAATTCCATGACCTGAAACAAAGATTCAATGACAACGGTTAAATATTCGTCCTAAACCTGGATTACTGTCCAGCTGAGGAATTGCTGGCAACATCTTCAGCTGACATCAAGTATACAGGTTATCTATTGTAGCTGTCATTACGTTTTGTTGCTATTCGAAAGCAAGTCTCAGGGAAAATGTTACTTAATAATTTGTGTTAGACCCTCCCACCCCCTCCCTCTCAAGACCATCACCATTATACTTCTTAGAAACACACATGTTTCGGCTAAAATGTTATTAAAATACAATTCTATTGTCTATCCTACTCCATATACTTCAATGACAAACCTTTGTGAAGGCGTCCTGAACTTCTTTGGCTGTGAATTCTCCGTACACCGCCTTGATCAAAACTTTTGACACTGTCCGCCATGATTTCCTATACTTGTTGACGGTGCCTAACAACACCCGGAACAACTGTTATCCCCTTGCGACTGACAAAATAGACCCGAAGTTTCGGACCTCAACAAAGGAAAATATTCAAAGGAAGATTGATAGAAAGGGTATCTTTGATAACTAGCTACAGCGACTCTGTATTTTGATCCATATAAACCAGAAGGAAAACAGAAATGAAGCCCAAACCATTTTGCGTAGTACTACAAAACCATTTCACTATCCTTGGCGACAGTGTGTGTTTACAGGGTGATGGACTATACTAATGCTGTAGAGGGTCAAAACAGATGAGAGGTAACATGCTGGATTGTGCTTTGTTACATTAATATTTCTTAACATATTCATAGAAAACATTAACAATATATCTTTTATTGTCTAATTTCCAGGGACCAGATGTTACATACTACTCACATAAAATCACTGCAAACCCCTATACTTGGTTACATAAGGTTCATTCCAAAAAGTCTCTTCCCCGATTGGTCAGATTTTGTCGAATCCGCATGATTCCGCGTTTTGATTGGTTAAATACGCCCACGATAGTCTCTTCTATTTTCTGATTGGTCGAATCTGCCAAATCCCGCGTTATATGAACGCTGCAAAGGCCGCCAAAATTTCAGTCTCTCCCAGCTGGTCTGTCGCTAGTCAGTGTAACCCTCTCTGTTGCAGCTATACACCTCTATCCCGCCAATTTTTTTCTTCCACAACTGTAAATTTTTCCTCTCCAGAAACCAAAGATGCTTTCCATGCACTCACCGAAGTCTACCCAGTCCGTGCAGCAGGACTTCTCGGCGCTGAAGATCTCTGCAGACCGAGAGAATCAGGTAACATTTTCGGCGCCATTTTTCTGTTCTGTTCGAGCAAAGGGGGTGACAGAAACTCAACTTTCTTTCACTCACCAAGCTTCTTCTGCTTTGTCGAAGAAACTGTGGTGATGTTTTGTGAAATTCCCAGGATATTACATCGCGGGAACCGTATTTTAGCTTGTAATAGTTGTAGCATGTAGCCACAGATCGGATGTTGTCTTCGCGTTGGCGCCAAAATGTAAATCTGGGTGTCGACGCATTGTCTTATATTTTTTCCTCTCAACACTGACTACAGGGCCAAGCACATTCCCCTAAAACAAAGATGTTGCAGATTCGTATTTTCCATTTGAAATTTCGGGAAATTCGGTGGATTTTGCTTCCAAAAGACGGCAAAAATGCTTTGTCATGCTCGACAAGAAAAAATACCGCGCGCGCACAGCGGGCAAACCACATTTTATATTTTCTTCCACGACTTTCTTTTCTCTTCGGTTTTCATTCATTTCATTTCTAAATGTGTAGCTAGGCTGCTTGTATATTTTTAGAAATAATTTTCAGCTACATTCATTCTGTATTTTAGTCAATCTTAGCGTAAGCCGTCCCGTTCTTTGTTAACGCTCCCTCTGGCTGTTTATTTAGTTCTCATGTTTCGTTCTACTTTCAGGTCCCGTCTTCACCTTCTAAAGGAAAAGTAGCAAGAAAGGTCCTTGGAGAAAGCCAGAGCCAGGTAAGAAACAATGAAAAATCACTGGGTGATTTAAAACGCTGGGTTGTTACACAACTTGACGGTTGCAACCCGAGATCTTGCGTAAGAAAACCGTTGCCAGCTGTTATGTAAAATTTCCCGCGAAAATGGCTTTACATAAATTATCAGGGAATTCTATTTGATATGCAAATTAGTAGACGCGTTGCACAGGGCTTCATCCCAAACACTTTGTTCATTATTTATTTCCTTATTGCTTTCCAGAATATCATTAGATCATCAGACATCCAGGAAATCAAGAAGCAATTGGTGAGTTTTCTTTTGTTTTCACTGTACTATGTATCTGGTAGATCACCATCTAATTTTCTGATCAGCATGTAACTGTTATTTGTACTGTTTGCAGTGCATCTAGACCAGGTTATACCTTGTTATGATAATTTGAATACTAGTAGCCTTTATTTTACTTTTATTGTCTGTGTTACATTATTCATCTATTTATTCATCTAATTTTTATCCTCCAATTCTTTAGGTTCAGAAGCCAGAGGAAAAGCCAGAGAAAAAGGAACAGGTATGCACAGATCCAAATGTTTTTGTGAATGAAGATAAAATAATAAGATTTATCAAACTGTATTAGCCATAGTACATCATTGCCTTGATGCTTTGTTTGGTCATTCCCTGGATAATGTCACGTCAGCCTTGAGAACTTTTTTTCACTTGCGACTCGATGCAACCAAGGAGGTTCAAAAAGGAGATGCAACCAAGAGTTCCCAGTCGACTGAATCCAATTCATTAATTAACACTTTCCTTTGTAAATGTGTATCTCCAGGATGAGCCCCTCCTGCGTGAGAACCCCCGGCGCTTTGTCATCTTCCCCATCCAGTACCACGACATCTGGCAGATGTACAAGAAGGCTGAGGCATCCTTCTGGACAGCGGAGGAAGTAGACCTCTCCAAGGTATTACCATGATGATGTCCTTTTGGTACACAATCGTGTACAAAGTGATGCTTCACCCTGAACAGAAAATACCAGGGTATAGGGAATACAAACACTACGTCAGTAGCTTGGCTAAACATTGCTAGGAATGCAACAGCAGTCCAGTGGCAATGTATAGTGCCATAGGGGTCACTCACTTATTCATAAAAAACTTATTTTACACAACACCCCATTACATTGTTATTTTGCATTTCTAGTGATTGTGCAAGCTTGAACCACTGTTGAATCAAGAAAATTTCAGTGGGATTCCTTAGAGTTAACTTGTACATTGTATGAAAGCAGCATTTACAATGATCTCGTTCTTCTGTAGGACTTGGGCCACTGGGAGAGCCTGAACGACGGTGAGAGACACTTCATCAAGCATGTGCTGGCCTTCTTCGCAGCCAGCGATGGTATCGTCAATGAGAACCTGGTGAGTGTTGGATTGATCAAATGCAATGGTTTACATTATCCAAAGTGATTCGTGTTTACTGGTGAGTTGACCACATGGTTGACTTTGATCCATGAGAGCGTTTGTCCTGATTAAGGTTACTGTCATGGCTTATGTGTGTCATTCATCCTCTTCCCAGGTGGAAAGATTCAGCCAAGAAGTGCAGGTTACAGAGGCCGGGTGCTTCTACGGCTTCCAGATCGCCATTGAGAACATCCACTCTGAAATGTACAGCCTCTTGATAGACACCTACATCAAGGATCCAGCTGAGAGGTCAGTGGGATATTCTACTTCTGTCTTCGAACAATGTGCCTTCCTGTCATTTGGCATGCAGTCCTTAATCCTCTTGTGTATAAATATAATGGACATACATTTACATGGACACTTTATATGTGTATACAGTACATGCTGCCAGCAAAGAAAAGTTTGCATGCTGAGTGACAAGTGATTCACTTTTTGTTCCCTAATGTCCCAGAAGAAGCAGTGACTTTGAATTAACAATAACTCATCTCTCCACAGGGAGCATCTCTTCAATGCCATAGAGACCCTGCCCTGTGTGAAGAAGAAGGCTGACTGGGCACTCAGGTGGATCGGGGACAAGGAAGCCACTTTCGGGGAGCGTGTGGTTGCCTTCGCTGCTGTAGAGGGAATCTTCTTCTCAGGTTAGTTGGTTTGCACAAAACAACACTTGTTATGGGTTCAAGGGCCATAAAACATGGGAGAATGATAATAGCCTAGGAAGCTCTATAGTACATGTAACTGGTTTAGTTATTAGACCTATAAGAAAATGGGTTCAAGGGCCATAAAACATGGGAGAATGATAATAGCCTAGGAAGCTCTATAGTACATGTAACTGGTTTAGTTATTAGACCTATAAGAAAATAACTATGTGAAACTTCTGAATTGCCTTTAAATCCTTGTTCTAATGTTGGTATTTGGTGCTTTGTCATTTCAGGTTCCTTTGCTGCTATTTTCTGGCTGAAGAAGAGAGGTCTGATGCCTGGGCTGACGTTCTCCAACGAGCTGATCAGCAGAGACGAGGGTCTGCACTGTGACTTTGCCTGCCTGATGTTCAGCCACTTGGTGAACAAGCCCAGCGAGGAGGCCATCCACTCCATCATCAGGGACGCTGTCAAGATCGAACAGGTACATAAACTGTCTGAAGGACCAAAATGTTCTTTGTAATAGGAAGGGAAAGTTTCATCATGTTTTCTTTTACCCCTTTGCTTATATCAGTAATGTTGTGTGTCAGGATATGCTTAATAGATATGTATAGCATTGCCTTTATTGCTCGCTTTCATAAGTTGCTCACCAAATGCTATTGTTTTCTTGCAGGAGTTCCTGACAGAGGCTCTGCCCGTGAAGCTGATTGGCATGAACCACGAGCTGATGAAGCAGTACATCGAGTTTGTAGCAGACAGACTACTGGGAGAACTCAAGTGTAGTAAGGTATGTCATCTCAGCTGTTGCTTCTACTACTTATGTTGCTTTCTTGTCGTGTCCTGCTTCACTCACCATTGTAACTAAGACGTCCAGTTATTTATGGTCATGTTCCATCTCTTCAATCCAGATCTTCAACAGAGAGAACCCCTTCGACTTCATGGAGAACATCTCACTGGAGGGGAAGACCAACTTCTTTGAGAAGAAAGTGGGAGAATACCAGAAGATGGGAGTGATGTCCTCTCCTGCTGAGCAGAAGTTTACGTTGGACGCAGACTTCTAAAATAAATGTCTCTCTGTTCCGTTTAAATCTCCTTTTCTGATAACATTTGGGTAGTACGTGATCTGAAAGACAATCACTCAATGGCTGTGTTTTGTGTTCAGTCCATCACCAGACCCATGTTTGTTGGTACCTCATCAACATGTATCTATCAGGCTAGGAGATTTATAAAAGAATAGTCGTGTACAGTAAGCATAGATAAATATGGCATCTTCAGTTTTAATAAATAGCAGAAACTATACCTTTTAATATGCCATGAGTGAAGATACAGGTTAATCTAATCAACACTTGAATTGTAAAGCCTTGTACTCCATGTTTTTAATGCTTCTTTTTATTTTAACTAGATGGTGATTTTTTTATAGTCTGTGATTCTTTTGAATTGCTTTCCGATGAAATGTACTAATATATATGTTTTGCATGTGCCATCAGCTGATAAGCGACCTTATTCAGGGGTATTTTTAAGTAGCTCTGCTGTATTGAAATGGAACTTTGTGATGGTTAAGTTTCATTGACACAAAGCAATGGATGGAAGAGTTTTTGGCAGATATTTCTAGTTGCACCCTTTTGTACATACTATGTTGTCTACTTCCAATTATGGAGCTGTGAAATATCTCAGGTCACAACAGCAATAAACAGTTTTTTGCTCATATTTTCACGTTTTGCTTATATTTTCTCGAACTTGTTCATGTACTAAAATGTTAAAGAGGAATGACACCATTTCGTAAGACCTATAACCTTGTAGGAAATCTCGTGCACTGAAGGCATGTATCCAAACCAACAATACTCTTTAAATCACATACCAAGGAGCTTCAGAACGTCCTTGTTTATGGCTTATACTCAGATAAAAACAACTCGAAATGCACAGGTGGTTCATCGTTATAAGTTCGGAAATGTGCAGACTGCAAATGCCATTCCTGAATGCTATTGAACAGGTGGCTAAGCGATAGTGTTAGGGCTCGTTTTACTTGATCGAGGATATGACTGATCATTATTTTATCCATAATCCTACATATATTTTGTGCACGTTTGGGAGTATTCATAATTTTTCCATTCCAAAAATGACCTCGCTTAACAAAACAGGAAGTGACCTTTCAACTCGCGCAAAGGGTTATGGTTAATCGCGCCTGAGTAGTAGAACCCGGAAGTTGCAGCCGAAGTTCAAAGCTGCAAGGTTGACCTGACTTGTGTTTAGGTCCGAGGGGGCTGCACCCGTGAGAGATGTCCTGAGGTGCTGGGTCTGCGGGTTCGAGAGAAAAGAAAAGTTCTTCGTCCATTTGGTGAATATTGAAAGGTTCTAATCATTACGCGTTTGTTTTCATTTGAGTATGTTGACAATAACATTTTATCGTCACACTGTATAAGTGATGAATGGCGTTATACGTATCGTTAACTTTTCTGTATAGAATGAACTCGGCCATCACTTGTCTGCAAATCCGGTATTTCAAGAAGATTCCATTAAGTAACATGACGTTGTATTTGTGCAGTATAGCGTTACCTGTATATAACTGCACCTCATTACTGAATTGGTGTGGGAGGGGGGCTTTCGCAGCTGTGTCGTCTACTCTAGGGTTTAGATTAACGTTAGCACAACGATCAGGGGAAGTTCTGCAACGAAATTACAGAGACCCGTTAGGGCCCTGTTAATACGACTAAGGGAGAGGACTCAGATCAAATTCACTAGGTAGTTTTCATTACCAGATTGTGTTTGGATGACAGCAGTGTTGTTTTTTAGACATCACCTCTGTGAAACATGATGAAGTAATGTCTGAAGACAGCCGTGTAAGGGAGAGGATGGAGACAGAGGAGGAGACAGGGCCCGTCTCCAGAACACACTGGGACACCGAGGAGTTTCTGGAAGATGAAGGGTGAGAGATAAACAATGTGGTGTATTCGTGATTTCAGTTTGGGCCAGCTGTATTCAAAGATATCATAAACAAAGCTGTAATTACTGACTAAATTTGAAAACCTTTTCTTGTCATTATGTAAGTAAATGGTTGACTTGACATTAGTGCACCTTGACAATGAACTTCATCTTTTTTCAGGTACTCCTTCCACTACTCCTTGCTGGAGATCTTCTCACCTGAGATTTTGTTCCACATCTTGTCTCACCTGGAGTGGCATCAGCTGGGTGTGGTGGCACAGACATGTAGGACCCTACATGAGATGTGCCAGAGTCCTGCACTATGGTGAGAATTTTGTTCATTCTTGAAGTTGAAGGGATTGGGTGGCATTTTGAGTTGTTTTTAAGATGTATCATCCAGTACTTCAGTCATTTTTGTAAACCCCAATTTTGTTATTTCTGCCTGTGATTATGCTACTCATTCCTCCTATAGATGATATACTGTCTTGCAATGTGTTTTCCTCTTCTTCACAGTTGAAGCACACATATTCTAGTAGTTTAATCTCAGGCATTTGTCTTCCCTCATGCTTAAGGTCTAGAATTACACACCTGGACTTCAGGATGTGCCAGGAACCAACAGAAGAGAGGATACTAAAAGTGTTGGAGATGTGTAAACATGCAGGTGAGCAGGGGTGAGTAGGATGGGTCTGTAGGGTATTCTGAAAATAATGAAGATTGGCTGAAACGTTGCTGTGACTGGCCCAACTGCTATCTTTAGTTCAATATCATCAAGAAGCCTTTTTGTATAACATTGAAACTACTAGTATGTTTTTCTGATCCACAAAGTCTGCCTACATGCCCAATATAATATGATGCTTGTTACATATATGATAACTGTTTAATATAATACATGTATGATAATTCACAGTGCATTTTGACAGATGCACATGCTTGTAACATGCCATGGTCCAAGAGTCATTTATAAATAATTTGAAGATCTTACTTTTCTCCTTATGCCCATACAGATTTCCTAGCTATTGGTTCAGTCCTGACTGATGACCTGTTGACAAACAGTCTGAACTACTGCCTAGAGCTGAGAAACCTTCATCTGGAATCAGAGCAAACCACTGATGGCACTGGTATGTTAGAAAAGAGCACTGTTTACTGTGTCATTATGTATAGTAGGCATTCCTCAGTCTTGTAGGATGTGTATGATGAGCTGCTAATATAAATGCAACTTGCAACAATGGCTTTTGTTGAATGGGCAACAAAGAAGGTATATCATTGTAGTTTGATTTCTTAATGTTAAAAACTATCAATATTCATTTTTTACATGTATTGCTTTTACCAAGAAGCTCCTCATACATGTATCATATGATATACAATTGATTTATTGCAGTTGCCATTGTAGCAGAAAAGGGCAGCAGGTTAAGGTCCTTCACCCTTGTGAACAGTCGGGAAGTGTCGAGTGCTGCCATCAGTAACCTGCTCACAGCCAACCCCGCCCTCCAGGAACTGGGGATTATGGGGTATGAACCGTATGATCCTGTTGCTCTTCTTGATTAAGAAATGTAGCTTGCATCACCCGCGATAGCACAATATTTAGTGTTGTTACCAGATTTTAAGAAATATACCAAGATACATCTCAAGCTTTCATCAATAGAGGAATTTTTTTCTGTCTTTGAGATCACTGTCTTGAATTTTACATGTAGCTTTCATTGTCATAAATGCTGGGTCCCATTTGTAGGATTCCTAAATCTGTACGTGATGATTATTTGAAAGTTGGTAGATTTCACTGTTCTTTGATTTTTCCTCAGTGACTGGAGGCATCCCATGGACATCTGGCTTCAGCCTGAGCAACCACCATCTGCCATCCAACTTAGACAAGTCTGGTGAGGATGCAAAATTTGTCCTTTTGAAGATTGAAACTTAGTTATATTTTTATGTTGTTTTTAGTGTGTTGACTGTTGGTAGGGGCTGCCATGTTATTCTTCATCCCTGTTTGTTGCTCCTAGTTTCCAGAGATGTAGACTTTCTGTGGAGAGGTTACGATCGCTCGGCCAGACATGCCCACTTCTGCAGGACGTTGACCTGTCAGCCTGCTATGGGTTACAGGAGATCACTCAGCAGACGGTCAGACTTGTTATCTATCTAATCGCTTTGATATCTGCAGCCAACCTTAATTTGTCCACATTTGTTTGTTATTTTGATTGATATATCAAGATAAATAATTTCCGCCATAAGAGAATGGTGACTGCTCACTATATAATTAGCTCACCTTGTCAGATGCTGCAGTCAAAGAGCAGTTTATGTGTTAAAAATTGGAGGTTGACATGATTTGTTACATTGAAACAATAATAAGAGTGTTGTTATGTGTTTCTTCCTAGATTGGGGCTGGATTCCGTGGTCTAAGAGAGCTGTGTCTGAGAGCAACAGGTGACTGATAATGATGTACACACATGTCCAGATTTATGTATTCTTAACAGTGATGCCACACATTTTCAAATTTATGAAGTAGTCTAGGAGACACTGACTGACAATGATGTTTGAATAGAATGTTCATATTTATAGGAGGATATTTTCATTTTATTTCTAACAGATATTGAAAACCTTGAACTAACTGAGCTTGGTGAACTTGAGTCTGTGGACTGCTCCAAATGCAGTGGACTGGAGTCAGTCACCATCAACTGTGTAGCATGTGAGTAGAAGTGACTTTTATTTGTACGATCAGCATTTTTTATTTGTTTCTGACGTTTTACAAAGTTACAAGAGGCTTGAGGTCCCAAATAAGGGGTGTACAGCAATGCTTCAATACAACATCAATAGGATATTCATTTGAACGATAAGTTGTATATTAGATACAAGTGCTAGCAATGTGTGACAAATGATTATGAGTGTTTCTGTCCTCAGTGAGAAGACTGGATGTTACAGAGTGTACCTTCTTACAGCAGGTCAACATCAAATCAAGGGTTATGAGAGAGGTAATTATAAGCACCTACATTTTGTTGTTCAGTAGAAGGTGCAGATGCATTGCCTGATCCTATGATGTTTGTGGACACATTGCTCCGAACATTTATTAAGTCATTTCATAATTAATTCTGGTTGGTTGACATGTTTCAGGCCAGGTTCAGTGACCTGACTGCGCTGACAGACCTTTCTGTAGAGAGTGAGAAGCTGGTAACACTGGACATCTCCTACTCAACAGAGTAAGTTGTACCTTGCTGTCATGCATTTGTTTTGTTGTAACCCTTTATGCTGTCTGTCCAATGAAGAATTACTAGTCTTCTCCAGCTGGTGCTCTACAATGATACAATGATACAATATATTTTACAATTGTAACAATCAGTTTTTTTTTTCTATTAGAATCACATACAAAAGTATTTAAGGCAATGAAAAACCAGTTTATGAAATTTTAGCTTATCAGACAACTTCCATTTCATCACTGTAACTTAGTCAAGTCAAACATCTTCAGGCTGTTGTAGGTAACATGAACAGAATTTTGTGAAAAATATCTGCTGTATTTTCCAGGTTGAGTCTACAGAAATTGTTGTCCCTTCCATCCATGTCTTGTGTGGAGACACTAAACATCACAGGATGTAAACAACTCAACCTCACAGAGGTCAACTCACTCCTGCTACCAAGGGTTTGTCTTGTCTTTATATCACTACAGATGTTGTTTTTAGACAGTGGTGATAGTGGCCCAGTAGCAAGGTATCTATGTCACTGTAGCTGAGCACCTTTTGGAATCAGGCAGAGGTTGCCACCATCAAGTATTATCTTTTAAAGAACTATTATTATAGGTAATGCTATCATAGTTAATGCTATGAGGTACATGTATAGAGAGGTTACTGCTTAGATTAACACAGAATATTTATCTTGCAGCAGTTGATATTTGTTGGTATCTAACTTTGTTACAGATGCCCCACCTGTCAGAGTTGGTCTGTGGGGATGTCTCTAGCCATGATGTCACTGTCCGGTCCCTCACCTTAACTGGATTGATCATTAAGGTATGGGCATGGGCTGGGAATGCATTGTTTTTGTTCATTTGTAGATTGATGAAATATGGAAACACTAACTTGTTTATACACTGCACAGAGCTTCTTGGAACCATTCTTTGACTGCTTTCCTCTATGCCTCCTTGTCTCAGACCAAATCTATTGCTGTGACAGGTTGAAGTTTTACAAAACTTGGCCTTACCGGTAAATATCATGAACATTTGATGTTGTCTGTTTGTGAAGTTTTTGATGATGGTCCAATCTTTTCCCTCAGGATATCCAGCACCTCCCATGTGTGTCAGTGAACTGCCCCAGTCTGCAGAGGTTCACAGTGGAGAGGTGTGCAGACCTGACAGAACCTGAACTGTTAGATGGGCTCATCCTTGGGAGACGGGTAAGGCGTTTTGGCTAGATAAATGTTGTAACTGATTTGCTTTATCTCAGTAAGATTGGAAAAGGACAGTGCTTATAGTCAGACTTGTGCAAAGCTACATTGTCCTAACTTCGTAAAGGGCTAGCTACCACTCCATGTATGTCAAGTCTTGCTACAGAAGCAGCAAGAAAATGTGCTGCCCCATATGCCAAGAGGTACTGAAGGGATGAAACAACAGTATTTCTCTTTATTTGAAATGTAATTGAACAAAGCAGTCTCCATCTTTTAAGAATCCGTTCTGTCAGTGTTATTTCCTGACAGTTGTACCATTAACCAAATGTTTTCTGCAGACTAAAAGGTCACAACAAATCAACAAGATGTCTGCCATGGATGAACCAACATGCTCCAGGCTGCCCTCCCTCAGTCACGGTGCTCCCATGATGCAACACCTGACCATTCGACAGATCCCAAACATGGTGGGAAGCTACCTGAGCGGGGACGGAGCCAGCTTTGTCTGTCTCAAGGTGCTGGAGATCGAGGCCTGTCAATTCATGAAGATGTGAGTAACAGGTTTGGGGGAATGGTTCAAACAAGAGCGAGGAAATTGCATTGATCTTGGCATTTCCATTATTCTAAACTCTTTTCACTGCCAGTACTTTCACTTTTGCATAACATGTTGAAGCACTTTCTTTTGAGACAATTGTGTCTTCTGTGTTGAATTATTACGATTTTTTTTTACTTTTTTTCTTTCCCATATAAAGCCTGGAGATTGACGGTTGGCCATCCCTTGAAGAGGTCCGGGTGTATAGCTCCAAAAAGTTAAGCAATCTGGTGGTTATCAACAGCCCACATGTTACCACTGTCATCACACAGGTAAACTGCCTCTACCTTTCCTCATATATTTGTAGCTTAGCTTTCTGTTGACAAGATATACACTTAGCTATACAGCTTAAATGATGAGGATGCTATAATCAAGACCTCTCAAACATTTTAACAAGAAATGTTTGTATGATTTAGGACAGGTACAGTAAAGAAATTTCTGTAGTTACTTTTATGTATATTTTAAATGTACAACTTTAGGTACAACCTTATCTATTAAAGCTGCATGTACTTTTTCCTTCAACTGATTTTTGTAAATCATTCCAGTGGTGCAGCAGCATGATGGAGAAGTTCCACGTTGTCTGTGACAAGCTGCAGACACTGAAGACGACTGGGTGTAGCTTTGCTAACTACACAGTACACAGCAAATCCCTGAAACAGCTGGAAGTCAGCGGTGTGTGCATGAAGCCAACAGATACTCTAGACATAAGGTAGGTCTTTAGAACAATGACTGAATGAATGAATGAATGAATGAACTGTAACATTGAAAAATGGATGGTTTCGGATTTCTATGATCTTTTTTTTTACGATTCTTTCGTGCCCTGCATTATGCTGCCTTTCAAATTTGAAACCTCAAATAATCCAATTTTTCAGGTGTGAAAGTCTGGTGGACTTGACCATTTTGAAGTGTGAGAATCTGTCTGAAGTCTACCTGTCAAAGTTGCTGTCATCCTGCCCTAATGTGACCAATCTTCGCCTGTCAGGGTGTAATCAAGTCAAGTAAGACATACTATGAGTATTTTCCATGCTACAGTTGCCTTTAACTGTCACTGCTTCTTTGGAAGTGGATTGTTCTTGTACAGGTAGTTTCGTGGTCACATATCCTCATGTTACAGCAAAGCTTCACAAGTGAGATGTTAACTTTGAATTATCAATAAGTTAAAACATTTAGATTGTTCCATGTAAGCATTGTAAACCCTGTAAACTTTGGTTCAATTCTCCATTCTGCATTTTGTGCAATGTGATAATTGTCAAATCATGACATGGATGCAATCATAACGGTTCTTGACAATGATAATGGCTCTTGACTAGCACATTAGGGTTATATACCTGCCGTGTCTGTGTTACAGCTATGTGAAAGTGCCGGCCACAGTGACCCACCTCTCCCTGAGTGCCTTGAGAAGATTATCTCAGGTAGTGTTGGAGGAGAGATGCAGACTGTCAGTGCTGCACCTCAGTCACTTACCAAAGGTAGGGCAAACATTACTATCCATGCCAGTCATCAATAATGAAGATGACGATAGTGAAAATGTTCTTGTGTGGTTTGTTGCTGCTGTTACTCATTGATTTTTTTAAGTAAGGGATCACACAAGACTAAAGGAAAGTCATGCAATGATCTGAAAGGACCATGGAAAATCCTGTTGACCAATGGTAGGGTCACTCTCTGTGTACAACCCCTATCAAGGAGTATTCAATTTCACACCTGAGTAAAGAATATGTAACACATAGGGAACACACACACACACACACACACACATGTACATACAAACTAGAGACAGGGCTGGAAATTAACATTGTCCCAGTGTCAAATGACACTAAATTTTCAGCTTGGGACAATTCAAATTACAACAATTTTGGGGCAATTGGAAAATTCTAAGACCATCCATGTCATTTGGGAACGCGATCCATCCATCCTGCTGCAGACTGCTGGCAGCCTATAAATACATGTATATAATACTCTGACAAACATTTAAATTTGACCAATCAGGGATTCCAAATATCAGGGACGGTGCCATGTCCATGATATTATCATGTATTTCCCTACATTTACCAATAAAGTGGACTTCAAGTTGTACAAATTCAGTTGTTGTTTTCTTATTTTTGTCATCAATTTATTTCCTGAAAAGCAGGCTGGGACAGTCCATCTTCAGTTCGGGACAATTGAAATCTATGTTCGGGACAATTCTGGGACAATAGTGAAAAAAGTTAATTTCGAGGCCTGTAGAGAGGTAACATTTGCAAAGCAAATTCATCATGTTTACCTTTACATGGCCCAGCTTAACAAACTACTGCTTTGTTTATTCCTACTCAAACACACTCAATGAATATATATGGTGATCATGCAGCCCCTCTTGAACTCAGTTCTTCATGGCACTTGCAACTTTATGTAACCTAACACCAGTTACCATGGTGACAGACATCTGGTCCTGGTCATTGACCTTATTTGTTTGGAATGGAAGAAGAAGAAGAAGAGGAAGAAACTGAGCAAAAACAACATGTTTTCCTTCGGTAAATATAATTACCACTTTTGTTGTTTCCTTATCAGGTGTCAGTGGACCTGCGGCTGCAGCTGCTGAGCAGGTGCCAGAATAGCCTGTGTGAGCTGGAGCTGAGAGGACTGCCTCATGAGACACAGCTGTCCCTCACCCTCCCACAGCTCCACGCCTTCACGCTGGACCAGTGCATCCATCTCACCGGGCTGGGTGAGGCATCATTTTAGCTTTTTGTTGTGTAACAATGCAGTGAAAAGTTGAGCACTATAACCTGATTAACACTTTGATCAGATGAAAGAAAGCTTGGATCTGTAAAATCTAAGATTAGATGATGGCCTTGAAAGATGATTCCAAATGGGCCGTGCCAATGATAATTTTTATACACTTTTGCAGAGTGATATGGCAAGTCATTTTGTGGCTTAGGTATCGAAAAGACACCCTCTTGGCATCTCTTAAAAGTAAGATTCAATGCTGGTACTTAATTTGCAAAAGCGAATGATGTTGTTGTGATTCATGTTCGTTGCAGACTTGACCTGTCCACTGCTGAGGTACCTGAGACTGCAGGGCTGTCCCAAGTTGTCCTCCTTCAGCATGAAAGTGGGCAACCTGGCATCGCTCCAGGTGGATCACAGCTCTCCCTTGCTCTCACTTAAGTCACTGCAGCTGGCCTGCAACAACCTCAGGTTCCTTGCCAGAATTCTGGGATATGTACGTATGCCTCTTCCTTTTTCTTCACATTACATGAATTACATCAATGCATTTTCCTCAGACAAGCAAATGCAGCTTTCGTTTCATTTGGGAAATGCTTTCACAAATGCTCTCTGACCTCATAATGTTGTATGCTTTTGCAGTACTGTCCTAATTTGGAGGAACTTGTTCTGTCTGGAGACAACACCAGCATGAGTAAGTCATACATCCTCATGTCAATCATCTCATTGTATGGACAGCAGTGAAGATCAGTTATTGTAATGAGGAAGACACGAACTGTTGTGTACTTCAAATCACCATGAATGCCGTAAATGATATGTTAGCCTTATATGTATCTGTATGTAATAGTTGTAGTGTAGCACTTTTGCAGAATTCTAGTGTGTGTACAACTCAATATGAAACTACATGTACTGTGCCTAGCCCTCATGGGCATGAATGTGCAAATACACATCATTGTCAATGTCAATGTCAATGCCAACATGCTCCTGTGTTCCCAGCCCGTGTGTGCAGCATCGGACACAACCTGCCCTGCCTCCACACCATCACGCTGCAGAACTGCACCCTGGAGGAGGACATCGCTGCTCACTTCCCCGGCCCCATCCACCTCCGGGCCTCCGAGCTACACAGGACCACTGACAGGGACATGGCTGTCATATTCCAGCAGAATGCCTCAAAGTGGAAAATGTGATCACCGTAAACCAAAAAAACATTACCTACACTCCACCCAAAGTTACCATGCCCAGCCTCACTTAGGGTAAGGATGCTGGGGTAGTTAGAGTGATACTGGCCAAAGAGATAGCTACTTAAGCACTTGGGGCTTGGTAGGAAGTAACCCTATGAAGTGATGTAAGCCAAAGAAATAATGCTTTGTAGCTACTTGATTTAACAAACATTGGACATGGGTACACCTGATCAAGGCTTTTAGACATTGTAGGCTACTTGGAGGAAGTGCCTCTGAAATATTGTATTGCAGCAATGTTTCAACTTTGATTGTAGAATTTATGTCTGCAGAGAAAAAAAATATTATTGGTTTTTGGAGCAGACGACAGTTGTAATCATTTTTATACTTGAAGGAATATATTATTTGTGACTACAATACTAAAATCACACCTTATCTAAAATGTATTGGGTAGAAGCAAATATTATGTAACTGAAATCTAGGCCAATGAATTAATACTCCAAAAATTGCATTTGTAGTCTATTGCGGTAACGAAATAGGCAAAATAATGCAAACTTCATACATGTATTTATTCATATGTACTACTAGTATGTACATGTACATGCATGTTTATCAAGGGGTACAAATATCATTGTCTTGGCCTTGAATCTGGTCATTCTTTTAGATTGTGAACTCATCAACATTTGTTTTGTTGCATTATCAGGACCTGACCTTTACACTACTTAGTATGTCTACTTCAAATGTAATTAGGTATCAAATTTGTCTATAAGTAGAGGGTTAGAATTATCATCAACACTGAAAAAAATTGAACATCTCATATTGCGTATAACAAGCTAGCTCAATCACTGGTCCAGTCTGCCACTACTCTGGTAGCTTCTGGCCTAGTCTCCTTACCTCTCTGTCCACAGTTCTCAAGTCTCAAGCTACCTGACTGCAATCTAACTAGTATGCCAAAGGTTTTTTCTGGAATTTACAATTATACATGTAGTATAGTATTTGAAAATGTTGGAAGTGTTTGCTTTCTGTGACACAATGAAATATGAAGGTAAATATTTGCATTGATTTCTTTCAAAATAAAATTAGGAAATAATCTTAACAAGTAACATAAGTAGGAAAAGCATGCGTTCAAATGTAATATGAATCCTCCAAACTTGTAAATTTATTTAGACACAATTTGTTGCTTTTAGCACAAGGAAACGGGATCCTTAATGATATAACCAAAGAGAAAATATAACAGCAGATTTATAACCTTGCAGTTGCATTTTTATAAACTATAATTTGATAAAAGTTAAGTTAGGGTCTTTTGTTAAAATGAACTGCATTGTCTAGAATATGTTTAAATCCTTGTGTGTAACCAAAAATTCTTGCAAATAAAATGTACTAACATTAAGTTAGATGTACAAACATGTTACATAAAGATAAACACAAGATGCTTGCAACAATGGATTCATTTACAAAGCTACAGGGTCAGCCATTCTGCAGTAAACCATGCAGCACTTGTTTTAATTTCATTTCACATTTTTCAATGCACAACTTCATAATGACCTGCTAGTTTCTTCTATTCTTGAGATAGGTATGGTGCTGTTGTAAATAGCTCATTTGTTTTTAGTTTCTAAAATGTACAAATTTCAAAACAGGTTTGTCAAAGTAGTGCTGGGTTTAAAACATGCCGTGCAATACCTGTAACGTTATATAGTGAATACTACTTTAGTATTCTTTGTCATGTGAACAGGCTTAACTATGTGGTAGTTTTGTGACTAGACTTAGTACAATGTAAATCTAAATTTCTGAGCCCACCAAGACCATGTATTGCCTGTTTGTAAATAAATATTAATATGTGAGTGTGTTCCTGTCGATGTTATGGATCCGATGTAACAAATAGGTACGCACCTAGAGGGTTGTTAGTGCATATTGACAGAGGGTACACCAAGAGGCCATATTTCCAAATGAAAGTGGTTCAGCACTAAGGACAAGCCTACAAAACTATTCGTGGTTACCATACCTTCCGTTGTTTCTTACCACCAGCTATCCAAACATATTGCACTTTCCTATGTTTGATTTGAATATGTTCACGGGGCTCGTTCTGAAATATTCACCATCATCATCATAAGTTCAGAATTTTCGCGTCAATTTAAGTTACCTGCCCTGGCAAAATGTTGCATTGATCAGTGCATGCCTGTAGTTTGATCCATGAAAAAAATGCACCGCTGGTTTAAGAAAAACATTTAAGCGGCGAGAAATATCGCGGTTGTAACAAACCTTTTGAGTAGAATTGAAAGTGCCCCCAGTTGACGCTACTGTAATCCTACACCAGTCCTGGGAACTCCTATGCAGGGAATCCCCGATGTGATGACGTCATCAGAGTAAGATGGCGGAAGTTGGTGTTGAAGTTGAAGCTGAGGACGGCAGTAGTGCTCTGTCTGTGACGTTCGACTGTCTGCTGGAGATATTCGGCTACCTCGATGGGCACGACCTCGCAAGGGTGTCCAGAGTGTGTAAGGTAACGTGGAAATGAAATATCTCGGGTCTGTTGGCGAGAGAGTCGTAACGTGGAAAGGGGGAGGGGGGCGGTTTGTTATGATCCAACATCACGAGTTGACTTCCTGAATTGTTGCTCAAAATGACAGTTGAATAGGCTGGCAACTGGACAGTCCTAAGGATCAGCTCTCATTTATATTTCTGAAAAGAATATCAAATGTATTATATCGTTTTATATATGATATTTCCGGGGTCTCATTTAAACGTGACGTTATTTTTCCATTTGCAGAACTGGCATGATGCAGCTCAAACTCCATTATTGTGGAAGTAAGTCACCATTAGTGTAAGCACATATCATAATGTCTTTTGCCGAACAAATTTAGCCCATGTTTTAAGCTCAAGGGGTTAAAAGATGATTCTCCTGTGTTATGAATGTTGATGAGTTAAACTGTAGACCTAAATTTAACATTACAGATTAGTATGGTGTGTATCATAATTTTACTCTGCCCACCACCCCACCCAGGATGTAACCATTCAACGTTTCAAACAACAGTTGAGTTAAATAATGTTTTCCCTTGCCCCAAGGCATTTCTATGTAACAGTATTAGCAGTCACAAAAATCCTAACTGCCTATCTCAGCATCACCAAAGGTTCCATGGAGATCTACAGACCGAGGTTTCTGTCATCTTTCTGATCACATTGTTCCTCCCCAGACACCTGTGCCTGCAGCGATGGCTGTTCTGTAACCTGTCCAACATGACTCCAGGAGAACAGGTCTGGCAGGAGTACTACATACACAGGCATGCTGTAGACACTAGCATGGGGAGGGGGGCGCCAAAAAAGGACTACCGGGCAAAAACTCTTCGAGGGCACAAAGGTACATATTTGTTGGATTTCATCCTGTTATTTGTTTTTTTTGACAATAACCCAGTTCATACTGAAATAAATCAGATTAAGTACCATTTAAAGTTCGCTGGGGCTATTTTCACTCCCGGTGTGGCAACAAGAAAAGAAATTTTGTTATTGACACACCAGAATGCTAAAAGCTATGCTAACATTAGCCGTGGCGACTCTTGACTCGGGCTTACATTGCATTACCCTCAGCAAGAGTCGTGGAAAGATCCATTGGCAGAACTGCACATTTCCCGTTGGCTGCTCGATGCTCCGTTTTTGACCCGTTTTTTTGCTGTCCCGAGCTTCCCTACAATATAACTCCACAATTGGCCGGGTTGCCGATGTTCAGATCGGCCTAAATATTCCACAGCGCGACGGGAAAGTACTAAAATAGCTAGTCGGTACATCCGCGCCGCCATTTTGGATATAGTCGGGAATGTCCGCTACCGCCGTCGGGAACGCTCGGTAGCGCCACGATTACCGAAGCGGGACCGAAAACTCTCCGATCATAACCGGAAAGCCTACCGAGCGTTCCCGACGGCGGTAGCGGACATTCCGGACTATATCCAAAATGGCGGCGCGGATGTACCGACTAGCTATTTTAGTACTTTCCCGTCGCGCTGTGGAATATTTAGGCCGATCTGAACATCGGCAACCCGGCCAATTGTGGAGTTATATTGTAGGGAAGCTCGGGACAGCAAAAAACCGGGTCAAAAACGGAGCATCGAGCAGCCAACGGGAAATGTGCAGTTCTGCCAATGGATCTTTCCACGACTCTTGCAGAGGGTAATGCAAATTATGTAAGCCCGAGTCAAGAGTCGCCACGGCTATGCTAACATGTAACTCAATGCTGTTGACAGGTCAGATCAAGGATGCTGTGTACCTGAGTAAGAAGGAACTGTGCTTTGACACAGCTACCTTTCACCCCATTCTGGCCAGTTGTTCTGAGGATAAAACTGTAAGAGCATGGGACATCACAGAGGTGAGTATCTCTCCTTTTAATGCAGTGAAAGAGACAAGAAAAGCAAGCAAAAAACCTGTCAAAAATGTTAAAAGCTGCAGCTATGTTTGAACTTCATTACTTTTATCTCTACCTAACCACCCAGGGCAGTGAGCTTTGGGTTGGTACAGAACACAAGAGTGCCGTCACTTGTCTGGTCCTGTGGGAGGAAGAGTCCATTCTGTGCAGCGGGGACCAGGATGGAGATATACACATGTGGGACTGTTCCCCTGGACAGAATAGGGGTACTTTTAGAGGACATGACGGAGGGGTGACCAAAATGGTCATGTGCAAGTCAGGAAGGTACACTGCACTTCTGGTGAGTGTTGTATGACATTGAGAGCTTAATGTGATTTTACGTACTGCAGGCAACACATTTTTAGTTTCTGTATCAAGACATCTTTGTCCCACTTTTCTCACAAACATTGAATCAAATAGGCAACAAAGATCACTATTTAAGGGACATATTTGTGCGTACATATTACAGAGGTTGAAATTGTTCACTTTGCTGTCAACTTCTTTTCAGTTCACACATCCTTTTCCCACAAGCATCATAATAAGCCAATAATCTAAGAATTATTTTCTACTTCATCAGGCTGGTACAGGACAGGGAGACATTAAAATTTGGGACCTGCAAAACACCACGGCTTGTCTGAAGACATTTCCTGCCATCTCTGGCATGGCTCTTGACATCCTCAGCCTACGTAAGGACAAAACACTGGCTGTGGCATCAAGAGATGGAGGAGGGATGAAGGTACAGAACACTGTTACTGTTTTATACTCTAATCAAGATACTTTGTACTTGTAAGTTGTAAGGTTAGAAACTAAGAGTAGAGCTGTGTACCGGTACGCAGTACCGATACTGTACCGGAAAAATTGATTAGGTACAGGTCCAAAATACCTAATCCCTCAGTACCGGTACTGTACCTAAACAATTTCACACCAATTTTATGCCTATTTGTGACCTCAAATGTGTAAATAGCTGGTTAACAATGGGTCACTGTGTAAGGACAGTGTGTTCATGAAAACAAAAACATCTTTACTTTTACCTATATTTTATCTGAACATTCTCCATAAACAAAAATTAAACCTATATCAATGTTTTTCTTGTTATTACAGGAGTTCAGAAGAGCATATACATTGCTCGAATTGTTCAGGTACAGGTTCAGGTCCGGACCTGTACCTAAACCTGTGTACCTGTACCTGTACCTAAAATTTGTTTAGGTACACAGCTCTAACTAAGAGTATTAGATACTACAACCATTGATGAAGAAATAAAAACCCAGCAAAAGATGATGATAGGCATATTTTGAGGGGTAGAGGGATGCATGCACTGGCTCAGTGGCAACAGCCCCTGCCCTGCTACAGTTTCCCTTGGCACTGGTTGTGCAGTGTGCACCATTGCATCATAGCCATGAGTGCTTAAAGTGGATTGGTTGCCAGCAGTTGTCTTTTTTTTTTTTTTCAGATATATGCTGGTACCAGTAATCTAGATTTGACTTACATTTCCAGCTGTATGATGTAGAAAGGTTGCTGTCATCTGAAGGCCTCACTGGCGATGCTGAGGACTGTCTGGTGGGAGAACTGGAACATCCCAGCCTGCAACACACCTGCTGCATCACCTGGTTGCCATGGAAACCAAACATGGCCGCCATTGGCTATGAAAATGGCGACATTGGGGTGTGGGATCTTAAGCCTGCATCTTCGGGTAGAACACATGGAAGAAAAGAAAGTCCACAGGTAAGTTTCATTTGTTTTCAATCTTACAAAATTCCTTTGGCCAGAAGAGAATTAGTAGAAAAGGAATGCATTTATCTGACACCATTGCATTGTTCATGCTATGTAGGTATTAAAAGACTGTTGTGCAATTCTTGACTCAATTTGCCCTCACTGCAAACTTTGTTGTACAGTACTTCTTCACACCACATCTGCACATTTTGGAGCTGTCAGAGGACTAAGTGCCGTACACAACATGTTGGTATCCGCTAGTGCCCAGGATGTGCACTTAAAGACATGGTCCTTACAAAATGATGGCAGCTTGACTGAAGAGAAGACTTACACTGATCACCAAGGTCCAGTCACAGGCATACACGTGGTGAGCAGACTTAAAGTCTTAGGCTTCTTTATTAACACTTTGAATAGGATCAATGCACTGCAGTGAAATTTCTAACATAGGAGGACTCCATGATAATAAAATTAATGTATTGCATATTGCATAGTGTGGGAAATCTATTCTGAACAAGAACATACCAGCCAACTGCCTTTGTTAATCTATTACAAAGGCATACAGTCATCCTCAAATCTATTTTTACCGAGTGATTACAGATGTACCTTACCTTACCTGGGCCCTTGGCCCCGTGCGGAGCATAGGCCACCGACGATTTCCCTCCATCCAGCTCTGTTCTGGGCTTCTCTCTCAACATCCTTCCAGTGCATTCCCAGTTCAGACAGCTCCTTCTCTGTGTCTCGCCTCCAGGAGTTTCTGGGACGGCCCCTCCTTCTTTTCCCTTTGGGGTTCCAGGACAGAGCCTGCCTGGTGGTACTGTCAGCTGGCTTTCTGACGGTGTGCCCGATCCAGCTCCACTTCCTTCTCAGGATCTGTATGGCAACTGGTTCCTGTCCTGCCCTACTCCACAGTTCTTCATTTCGGATCTTCTCCGGCCATCTGATGTTGTATATGCGTCTGAGGCAGTTGTTAATGAACGTCTGTATCCTGTGTTGTGTTGACTTGTTCATTCTCCATGCCTCTGCCCCGTACAGCAAGACTGACTTGACGTTGGAGTTAAAAATGCGTACCTTTGTGTCCATGTGGATTTCCCTGGAGGCCCAGATGTTCTTCAGCATGACAAAGGCTGCTCTGGCCTTGCCTATCCTGGCTGAGACATCCTGTTCCGTGCCTCCCTGCTGGTCCATCACACTCCCCAGGTACACAAAAGACTCCACCTCCTTGATGGTCTCTCCCCCTACTGTAATAGGGATTCTGGTTTTGTTGTTGACCTTCAGGACCTCTGTTTTCTAAATGCAAATTACAAAACCAACTTCAGCAGATGTTGCGTCCAAGCGTGTAGTCTTGTCTTGCATCTGTCTGTGGTAGTGAGAAAGGAGTGCCAGGTCATCGGCAAAGTCCAGGTCATCTAACTGTCTTCCCTGTAGCCACTGGATTCCGTTGTTCCTACTCTCTGTGGTAGTCTTCAGGATCCAGTCAATTGCAAGAATGAACAGAAAGGGTGACAGTAGACATCCTTGCCGTACACCTGTCCTTACTTCAAAGCTGTCCGACAGTTGTCCTGCGTGTATTACAGATTACAGATGTAGTCAAAATTATAAGATGGCTGCATGAGGCTGCACTGAAAAGATGGATTCACCATTCATGATTATTACTGTTTCAGGATCAGAGTAAAGAGACTCTTTTTTCACAACCAAGTGTTTTATTCTGCCAACGTTTCGGTGACCGTCTGTCACCTTCCTCAAGGCAATTCTGACGGGTTCACATTGCACTGCAGCACAGGTGTCGCTGCTATAGATGCATTCCCAAACATACAATATTTACATATCTACAAATATACATGAATGTACATAGTTACAGGGAACTGTATCTGTTTCAGGACCACTATAAGGCTGTGTCCTGCTCAGACGACTTTTCCATCAGGGTTTACCAGTGGAGACGGGAGGGGGGCAGGAGAGTTCTGGACAGCAAATACACACTCCTGGGAGGGTCTCTTCAAAGGGCAAGGTGAGTTTTTATGTACAATAATGCCATCTTCCCTCGCTAACTATTCTTCTTTGTTTCGTTTATTAATTTCATTGTGACTATTGTGTAGAGTAGTACAAGATAATAACATGCTGTAGGCATATCAATATTCATAAGCAAGTGTGAAATTAGATAGAAAGATACAAAGATTTCATTTCGATGTGATCAAGGAGATTAGAAATGATGTAATAAAGGATGTACAGTTTTGAAGACAGCTGGTTAAGTTAATTTTATGGTGTTATCCTATGTTTGCATGGATAACCGCCTCATTTGTTACACTTACTAACACTTGCCATACACTACAAGGATCATCAGGTGCCCAAACTAACCCTGTGTTACATTTGCAGTGGTTTCCAGGGTGTCCTCAGTGACTACACCAGCTGTGTGGGGATTGCAGGCAAGGAGCTGAAGGCCTACACTTTTACAACATAGCAGTGCACCAAACAATGATCTTTTCACATGTAGTCATTAACAGCAATGGGGAAGAGATACAAATACTTAGGTTAAGGTCTAAGGGTCTAGTGTCTGCTAGAACAAGTGCCTTTCTTAGCTAGCTATTCAGGTGGCACACAGAGGACATAATTTCCCCATTGCATTGAATCAAGAGGTCAACAGTACATCTGATCACAGCCATTGGCAATATTGTATTAGGGATGCAATAACTAAGGCGACAGGTGACGGGCCCAGAGAATGCAAGAACAGGTGTCTTTTTTTAGCTGAACTGGTGACACTGTAATCACAAGTTGGACAATATGCTCTACTCCAACATCAGACCAAACAGGTTTCTGTTAAACATCTTTGACCTCTGGTCTTTGTACTCACTGTGCCTACTGGCATGCTCTTATATTGTCAAAGAAGTGAAACTGTCTCTTCAACATTCTGAATGTGCTCATTACCTAGAATGCAAAAGCTTGCAATGAGATCAGGCGATTTTTGTAAGATATGCTTTGATAGGACATTTTTTACAATCAGTAATTAAGGTTTTTCTTTGATACAAGAGTAGAGACATTGTCCTGGTGACTTCTAAGAAAACTTGCAAATGCTGTGTTTTAAATAAACATACCAGCTTCTGCCTTGAATGTTGGAATCATTGAATTGAGTTAAATCCACTGTAATGGACCAGATGTAGATTTGGATTAAGGGGTAGCATTATCAATCCAGGAGGGTTGAAAAGATCTGACCACCCCCAATGTTTACATTTTGTGTTTGCAAATTGGTAAAAATCAACTCAGAGCCCACCTCATACATCTACTTGGAGATTACATCAACACATCTACACAACCATGTATACACAAAACAATGCTAAATGGGGGGGGGGGCATAAAGATCATGGTCCCGAATTTGGAAATAGTTTGATAAATCTCCACACGGCTATTTTGTATTGACATAGTTTAATCAAAGGGGTTCAATTCAAAGAGTCAAAATGACTCCACAGAAACAAAAATTATGCCAAAATTATGTTCGTCTATAACTGGACCTTGTGGTATACACCAGCACTGTCCTGAGCTGAGGCCAGGTCTAGTCTGTGTGCACAAGTCCTCCGGATCTTCCTAAGAATTGTGATTAGAAAGGCATTATCCCCCGCAGTGGGAATTACATGTTGGCAGCAGCTGCGATAAACACGTTTTCTACCACACACCAACCCAAGGCGTATTTAACGCGAATGGTTGAAAAGACCAGGTACTTTTAGACGTATCTGGCTTGTTGTAAGATACGCTGTGTGTAAACCTGTAACCATAGAATAGAAGAAAAAGATGTATATGTCGTGATCACCAGTTGCCAGGTCTTGTGGGCCGCATACATCATCGGGGGCCTCTGTACAAAAGAATACATATTGTATTGAAAGGCGGTACCGAATACCTCATCGCATGAATATTGAAAGAGCGCACGGATGAAGTTAATGTTGAACCCTTAATGAGCACATCGTGAATCTTCATTACCGTAGGACCTTTTGGACAAGATGCTCAAATAGACAAAAGCTAAATGAGTGGTGCGCCTCTGTTTGGTACATTGACTTTGAGGAATATTCCCGCTACCCCATTCTTCCCTCTCGCGGTGGTAAATCCTGTTTCACGCTCGCCCATGTCAATTGAGAAAGTCGCATTCCTCCAGCGTTACCCGGTAAGACCCACTCCAGCCAATAGCCCAGCGGAAAACTGCGCACCACCGGGATCGGTAAACACGTCGTGAGCTCTGAGCCTGCGAGACTCATTTCTACTGACACCCGATAATTTACGAGAAAGAGGCGGTAAATTTTGGATTTTATTGCGAGCAAAGTTCGGATTTTACGAGCGTGAAGCTTTCACTGTCGTCCATGGAGGGAGGAGGGAGTTGGAGAGTGATAGCGGCTATCGTCTTGATTCATTTCTTTGTAGAGGTACGTCCACACGCTTTTTGCAGCCATTGTCATAATCATATTGCGGCCAGAATGCTGTTCAGTTGTTTTTGTTGTTGGGCTTGTTGCGCAGAACTGTTGGATCTACATTTTCATTTGTTACCCTAGTTGGTCTGAATTTTAGGGTGGACGTGGGATAGTTGTTGCGATAAATGAAGAACGCGCGCGTCGGGTCTGCGCCTTAATCTGGACCGGTGAGGTTTTGTGGTCGGCACTGCGCACATTCCCCGTACGTCTGGTGATCCTAAAACCAGCAAGATTTGGCAAGGTCGCCGACAATTATCTACGAATATTCCTCGATATTCCACGGTCCTTAGTGCATTTACAGCCCATTTACTCCCATGAACAGACCGATCAAATATTCATAGTACAAGAACCCGAGATTTGCCACACCCAAGAGTTACTGTCGCTTCATGAAAAGTAAACTCATTGAAAAAACGTCAAACATTCTTAAAATGTAGAGCAAAAATTAGATCTTGTAAGTCGTCTATAGTTACGTATCCTTAGTTGTCGATGAAGTAACAGCATATTGAGAACATTTTGCCGTAGATGAGCATTAGTCAGCCCGCAGAAAGACGACGTCGACACATTCCCAGAAATCAGGCAAACAGTGACATCACACAAGATGCTCTGACAAACATCCTCAACTTGCCCAGGAATCCGTCGGAAATCGTGTCTAAAATACAGGAGGTTTTTTCGAAAACAGAATAAATCTATACCGTATTTCAGCGTTTCTATCAAATCATTGGAGCTACATGTACGTCTCTTTGGCCATGGCCACGTGTGTGTGTGGGGGACACTGGTACGTAGAACTATATGTCCTGTTTGGAGATTCCGCATTGCCGTTCGAATTCCTTTCCTACCGTCTTGATGCACATTAAAAATCCTGATTTATATGACATATGATTCGCCATAGTGTGTCCCAAAGTAGTATCCATTTTGTGGTGTTTTATTTGAAGAGAGAATCTGAATTAGGCAATAGAAAGCAATAATGATATTTCTGTAATCTAAGCAAACAACGAGTGAGTTAAGAACAGCAAGAAATTTCTACAGTGTCATGGTGTTCTCTTGAGTTGTAATCTTAATAAGAGTTTCCCGCAGTTTAAAGAAAATAAATAGCGTTTTCAGAACTCGTCACTGTGAAATAATGACATTGAAGGGCGACAGTCAAAAACCCCATAGGCAGCAAGATTCGGTAACAATGGCTTCTTGGGCATGTTTTGTAACCCATGGCAATCGATGTTCACGGGGTCATATGTCATGTTCACTCTGGTTGTCATTCCCTCAAGATCCTGTCATTTTACAAAATTGAACTGGATAAGTATCTGTGGTTAATGTTAGACATCCGACTTCTCTCTGGACAAAGTGCACTAGACGTCTTTTTAAAGCGTCCACAGCAAAAGACTTTACACAACAATGCCTTTTGACTTTTTGCCGTCTGTCCTTATTTAATGCGTTGACCCAATTCCATACGCTTTAGCGTCGCTACTTATTTCCAAAAAAGGCGCATTCATCAGTTTCTTTAAAAAACGGTGCATGCATCAAAAGTAACCATCCATGGGTTCCGGTGTGAGTGTACAGAATTAGGTTGCTTGAGAGTGACAGAACATCTTAGTCTTGAAGCGTTCCGAGGTGGCCGTTCTATCACTTGATTCACAACCACACGCAGGATGGTCGACGCTGCCCTTTTGCCAGGGTTCACACAAGATGCTCTGAGAGTTCTGAATGGCCGCTGTGTTCCAACTGTCACTTCCTCAAGTACCGCTCGAAATCCATTGTTCTTCCATGCCAACAAGCCGATTGTGGTCGGCTTTCGGTTCATAGCATCGCGTCAATCAACGTCCAAAACCAAAGGATCTAATGTTTGCACAAGTGCACGACAGCCATCGCCTTGGGAAAAGTTCAGGTGTGTTTGGGGTGCGGATTGGTCCTCTGCTTCTCTACCTTCTTTGTGAAGGACGGGAGTGAATTCCTTTGCCATTTGGGATTTCCAGCAAATATGAAGAAGATGCCGAGAGGGCGGGATGTGAGTTGGGGCTCAAATGAGGAACATTTTTGACCGATGCGTCACTTTCTGGATCCCAGTCGGATTCTTTATTCCCTAGTGGTTCCCAACGAATCATGGTAGAAACCGCCATATGTATGCAACAAAAACATGAGCTATTCGTGTAAAATCATTATGAGAGCCTAGAAACCAACTACTGTAGTATCCTGTACATACAAGTATCCTGTACATACAATGTGATGGAAGGGCTAACATTTCAAGATGGTAATATTTCTGCCTTGAATGTTGGAGATGGGAGGTGAGCAAGCATATGTTGACCTAGCAGCATTCCAGAAGGAGTACTGGAAACTGCCAGCGCTACCACTGCGTCACTTTGTGTACTAGCGGACGTGCAACACAACATCGTCCCCTGCCTTGTTGGAGGTCACAGGGAACATTACACTTGACTTGTGACATAACGTTGGGTGGGGGCCAATGAAGAGTTAGTTCAGGAAGTGGGGCGGAAGTACTTTGTTGGCGGTATAATGCTGACAGTACAGACTGGACCTCTCCGGTTCTCGGTCAATCATAGCCTGGGATGCGGTCAAGTATGCCTGTACTGGACATGAAGATGAAGAAATTGATTCTAAAATGCACGAAACGAAATTCTTGATTTTCGTCTAATCTTAAAACATTCTAAGCTTAACAGGACAGATCATTTTTTCATATAATGAACGTCAGTCAAAGAGCTCAAAGAGCGGTCAGCGCAACATCAGCTGGGAGAGACATCAACGTTGAACACAAAAGCACCTGGTCCAATGATTGGCCAGGGAGCATTTTCTTTGGTCTTATTGAAGTCCTAGAAAGGGTAGATTAATCTAAAAAATCTAAAAATAGTACTTTTCAAAAGTGTGCGTAGACCTTCATTTGCCCTGTGTGACAATGTGTCAATAGGTAATGTTTGTTACGTTTTGTGGGGTTACGAAGAATACTGCAGCTTGAGCTTTTGCAATCGCGATGGCAACATGTACATGTCGGTAGGATTTCAATATAAGGATATCATCAAAGGGAAAGTGGCCTTTTCTTGAGATCATGTAGACAAAGCAATAAAGAGGGGTTGGTAGAAAAGTAGGGATAAAACGTACCGAATTCAATTTGTATTTTCTCACACTTATTCACCAGTAGTGTGGATATGTGGTCTTCTTTGTCAGCTATGTACGGATCAAACAACGACCAAAAATAGTTGCAACCCAAAATAGTTACTGACGTTTTTCTCAAGAATGCATCCAGTTCAGTTTGTTGAGATGCTTGGATAATCACAGTCTCTTATTCCACAAGCCTGTAACAACTAGTACATCAATTTAGAATTACGTCACCGTTGCTCTAAGGAGCTGGTAGGGCGTTATACCTGAAGAACAATTGGTGGGTTTTATATAGACGCAAAGGTTTCAACTGAGAACCTTATAAATGTTTGTCCACGCCTCTTGTGGCAATGCCACCAACGTTGTCATCCTCTAGTCTGCACCAACGTAGTCACCCTCTAGTCTGTGTGATATGCTGCCTTTCACGATGGTATCATTATACTGACTGTTATTGCATGATTTTGAGTTCGTTCTCATCGTTGGTATCATCTGACCCACAGACATCAAATGACTTGTGCTGCAAGGACTGCTGTTATAACAATACTCCTATATTCATGGAACCCCATTGACCAAAACAAAGAGCCCTGCAGCTAGCTGGGGTACTGAGTGTCCTGTATTCCTACCCGTCCCTGCAGGGCGTTCTGTCCGCGGCATGTGAGAACCACAGTCCTCTGTGCGGGAAGAACCCAGGCTGGCCCACCACCGAGATGTGCGCCACCAACTACGTCCGCGACAAGTGTCACCAGTTCTGCGGCATCTGCTGTAAGTTGAACTTCAAATACAGCGGAAAGGTCGTTCTTTCTTACGTTGGCCAAGGTTAAACGTCCTGGAGACGCTATTTGTTACTGAGTACTGAGGAAGAGCGGTAAACATCACGTGAAAAGAGAGTCTCCGTAAATTCTGTTCGTTGCTTGTATCAGGATGTTTAGATATTGTATAGTGGCTGTCCGTTGTATATTTGGCCTTTATAGTACATTCCTCCTTCCCTTTACAATTTGTCGATGTACAAAGTGCCTTGTGTTAGCTGTTAGCTTCTATTATTATCATGATAACCTGGTGTAAGCATATACAAATAGACATTGCGGAGATTACGTAAGGCTCCGTGCAATTTGCACATGCAAACTGCTGCCGAGTGTTTGCAAAGGGCGCATGACGCAGACCTCGACCTTTCTTTTCTCGCCCGCCAGCTTGCCCGTCGCAGCCGGCCTGTCGGAACGGGGGTCGGCGGGGAGGCAACCCGGAGAACTACGGCAACAGGACGTGCGACTGTAACTGTGTGGGGCTGTGGAGCGGACAGACCTGCTCAGGTCAGCCGGGAACATTCACACATTCTTTTATTCTTTTTTTAAATAGCTCAAGTACATATCAAAGCACTATAACGCAAGGTATGTCGACACAATTACTATTATATATAAGGTGAATTATTTTTCATAACATCAGACATCGAACAAGGGCAACATAGTGTTATTGCAGTTGGGCAACCGTGAGTTCTGATGTCAAATCGGACAATGATAAAACAAAAACACCACAATCACGTTTTGTGATGTAATATGATTTATGGTCGCTAATCGCTAATTTCTTATGTCTCTGTTCAGAATGCCAGGCGAGATGTTTGAATGGCGGGACGTTGGACCGCGCAACCTGCACCTGTAAATGTACACCTGGATGGGACGGGGACCAGTGTCAAGGTAAGGATATGGGCTGTAACCTCGGTCTGACCAGCTACTTTAATGATGCATTATGACTTTGAGTTGATGATGATTGTTTGTACAAGTAATTTGGACAAAAAGTACGTACCACACAGAGCATACAACAACAGAAAATCCGGTACTAAGGCCAGGGGACGTCCCAGGAAGACATGGATAAAGGGTGTGAAGGACACATTGACTAGGTATGGCATGCCTGTAACAACAGCCTCCAGACTAGCCATCGTCCGTCAACTGTCCCTCCCCAGCCCACGACGCCACAGACGGAAGAAGTGGAAGGACAAAGTAAAGATAATTGTTGATCCAGCTTGTCTAACCGTGGTTGTTCTATTTAGAAAGTTGTTTTTTTTTTACGTTTCGTACCAACCGATAATTTCTCTGTTGGTCAGACCCCTGCGTGGACAAGAGCTCACTCTGCGGAGCTAACCCGGGTTGGCCCACCCAAGACTCCTGCAAGACGAGTTACGTGAGGGACAACTGTCACGCCTTCTGTGGCGTCTGCCGTGAGTCTTGTTCTAAACTATTCCGCAATATGAATATGTCTACACGTAGATACATGCATTATTTATACAGTGTGAGTATGGAGAATAGTTTACCGGTATGCTTTGTTGATTATGATATTTTTCCTTCCGACTACTGTTTTGTCATGTCCGTTACATCAAATCGTCAGTTTATTTCCTCTCCAGAGCAAAGTGCTGTAACTTCGGGAGGATGTAAGAAAATCTGTCGGAATGGCGGGACGCTGTACCCAGAATCCTGTGTGTGTGAGTGTGGGCCGGGGTGGATGGGAGACCAGTGTTCCGGTCAGTATCATTACAAGATGCTCACGACATTTCATTCTGTTTCTCATGAGTACTATTGTGTAGTAAATAAACATTAAATAGTATTACTAGAAATAGGCAACGCGTCTTCCAAAAAGACTCGATATGTTATGATTGTGGGTAAATAAGGCACGTGCCCTCTACGTCTACATCTACATGTATCTTTATGTTGCTGGGCAAAGCCCTCGATGGGGCTCTTGATTTCTTTCATTGCCTTGGTGTATGAAAGACACTGACTGAATCTGTTATATCATATAAGTCAGTAAGTGCCTGATGTTGCTCCTGTTCGCAGAACCGTGTGAGAACAAGAGCCCGCTGTGCGGGGCGAGCCCGGGGTGGCCCACAACTGACCTGTGCTCCAACAACTACGTCATGACCAACTGTCCACTCTTCTGTGGAAAATGCGGTGAGCTTCGGGCCGTGTTATGTTTATGTTGGTAGTACAGTTGCGAATACAGCTGTCGATTCAACGGTCATCGTGTATCTGTCTTTCAACTGCCCGGTGCACGTTATACGTTTTTTCAGACAGTCCGTGCTCTTCACTGGCTTCTTAATTCTTTGAGCTAATTTTGGGGCCAATTAGATATTACACGGGATGCTGACTTGTATTTTACCGTCCGTGCTCACAGAATGTCAGGAGTCCCCCAGGTGTCGGAACGGCGGTTACCGCGGGAACAACCCGTCCAAATACGGCGACAGGAGCTGTGAGTGTAACTGTGCCGGGCTGTGGAGCGGACCCACGTGTGCAGGTGAGCCATGCGGATTTAAGTCATAAGTTTGTGACAACAACCAGTGATAAAAGCTGCTTATGTGCAATCGATGCCTACATGCTGATTTTTGGTAATTTGAATGCATGGTTCTGTCACCATGAACACTTGCAGTTGCCAGTATGCGTGTGTAACTTTAAATGTCCCTGTACCTCGCCCCATCCCGTCCCACAGAGTGCAGTGTGCGGTGTGCGAACGGCGGAAGACTGGACCGGTCCACCTGCACATGTGCCTGCACACCTGGCTGGGACGGAGACCTCTGTGACAGTGAGTACAGCTCCTCTGTGTCTTTGGCGAGAACAATCTTCACCAATGCAAGACGCAAAAAGAAATATGAAACTGGTGGTGTAGCTTACATGTTAAGACACATACTCTCTTGTGATGGTCATTAGGTATTGGAACCCATGGCACTATATTGAAACGTCAAACAATTGATATGAGCAGTGTTATTTCATGTTGAAGAATTTCGAGAAGTTGCATTGCTGATTCAGTGCTGGACATAATGACAACGTCTGTGTTTCTCCAGAGCCGTGCACGAACGCCAGCCCTCTGTGTGGCGCTAACCCAGGCTGGCCCACAGCAGACTCCTGTCGATCAGACTACGTCGTCAACAACTGCCACCAGTTCTGTGGAGAGTGCAGTAAGTTCACATATAGCATACGCCGTGCTATCGCTAAACGATTGCAAACCGTAGAACATTTCTGGGACAGTCATGCACGTGTTCTGCAAAATTTAGCTGTCTTGTTACGGGAAAGGACTGTCTTTTACATCATTGTCAGCTGTTAGTTCTGTTACAGCTTTCCTGACAGTTCCATGACATCAAAATCGTACGACGACTGTGCCCATGCTGTATCTGTCTACCCTCTACCACGCTTCGGGAGGCGGCTTGAAAGGGTAGAAATTGACCAAATAGAGAGATAACATGCCGAGGGAGTTGGTCCACTAGAGAGTGCGGCAAAATGTACTGATTCACTGACGAGCTGCTCTTTTCCCAGGCTGCCCCACCTACCCCGGGTGTCGGAACGGCGGAGTGCGGGGTGGAAACCCCAAGAACTACCTGAACAGCACCTGCGACTGTAACTGCGCGGGGATGTGGAAGGGACCCACGTGCGAAGGTAGGAGATGTTGCCTACATCAACGCATTCAGTAATTGTTATCGAAAGCTATGAAATTAGTTGTCGGCTAGGTGCCCTTGTAAGCAATGAGACGAACGCTGCAACCTGTATTCTTCGTACTGTTCGTCAATTCGATGAAAACATTTCTTTGCTTATCAGTAGCTGCTAGAGATCGATTCATGGTAAACAAAATTGACATTTGTGTCATTTTTGTTGTCTTTTTTATCCATTTTAAGCGGTTTTTTACTCCCCAGAATGTAGAATACATTGTGAGCATGGCGGGGTAGTGGACTTCACCACGTGTTCGTGCCTGTGCTCCCCCGGCTGGGACGGGCCACTCTGCACAGGTAGGTGGACATTATGGAAGATAACATGGTCATCTGGCATATATAGTACGAAAAAAACTATTATACCATTGTCGGAATAAGAACTACGTGGATAGGTTTTGTAGTGTCCCACGGTCGACGTTGCTTGTACATTTTGTTCGATTTCTTCCCTATGAGTATGTTTCATATATTCACTGCTAGCTATAGTTTGAGCCTATTTGAGCACTACTGCTTACATTGTACGTGCTACAGAGAGGTGCGAGGACAAACATCCGTACTGCGGGGCCAATCCAGGCTGGCCCACCGTGGAGTCGTGTAACACTGACTACGTACGGGAGAACTGCCACGCCTTCTGTGGGGTTTGCCGTAAGTAACTTTTACAAAATTTTGTTGATTCCATCTTCTCTACTGTCCGACAATGATTATATATGATTGGGTTTACGTCATTAGAAGAATAGAAGTATGCATATGCTATATGTTTCCTGAAATGGTGCATTTTCTGATATGTGACAAGAGGTCTGTTCCATCCCAAGAAAGGAAACATTTTGCCAAGTTTGTGAAACCTGTGTTGTGTAGCGTGCTTCTCAATGTCTTCTTCTCCCAAATGTAACCTCCGCTGCAGAGGTCAGCAAGGGTAAGCCAAGCGGGTCCATCTTGAAGCCCAAACCCACGAACATACAAGGAGACGGCCCGGGCACGGTCAACTTTTGCATCACCGCCCCCTGCCGGAACGGCGGGACCTGCATCCCCATGAAGACCGGGTTCCGCTGTAACTGTCCCCAGGCGTTTGAAGGGGCTCGTTGTGAGATACGAACAGGTAACTGATTTTTTTCTACAGATGATATTCTCTAATGGTATTACATTTCTTTATCAAATGAAACAGGCTTGAGCAATTTATACGGCTCCTACAGGTGTTGTATTCTTTGTCATATGAATATACTTTTTGTGCGTCGTCATATGACGTTTCATATCTGTTCATCGACTTTTTTCTTACGATTTAGATCTTTTAGCTGTCTTACGGCTGCACTGTTCAATTTCCCACAGACTGCAAGTTTTCCTTCGACCTTGTGTTCCTGGTGGACGGGTCCACTAGTGTCGGTCCGAACGAGTTCGACAAGTCCAAGGCCTTCCTGCGGAACGTCATCAACCAGTTCCAGATCGGGCCAGACGCCACCAAGGTAACCACATCAACATCAATTCAAAAGCTTTTTGTTCTCGCGATCTAAGATTTGACTGCTAGAAAAACTTACTCTGATAGGGCGGTGCTCAGTGCTACATGTATTATGTTGGCATTGTACAGGTTCATTTTATCAGAAGGTGTGTCAATTCCATGGTCGAGTGTACGTCACGCCTCCATTGTGTTGGGCAGGGTGTGCCAAAGAAAGAAGTAATTGCATTTAGCGGAAGTATGTAAAGAACTTGTCCTATTCACCTTCCCCAGGTGGGTGTAATCCAGTACAGCAGCACCGTGCGTGAGGAGTTCTCCCTGAACCGGTACCTGACCAAACAGGACGTCATGCGCGCCATCGACCGGATCCCGTTCCTGGGCGGGTTCACCCGGACGGGGGAGGCCATCACCTTCATGAAACAGCACAGCCAGTTCCGCGGGAACGTCCCCAAGATAGCCATCGTCATCACGGACGGCAGAGCGCAGGTCGGGAGACTTAGTCCCAAAACAGTCGTTATTTTACCCAGAAGTAAAAAAAAAACACTTGCGGTAACACTTGTGGAGCGTTATTGATGAGATTGTTGTTATTTTTCCGTGCTATTGATTTGCTATGAGGAAACAGTGAGGTTGCGCAGAGGAGATGATGCTACAACTCGTCGGAATGTAAACCGCATTCTCGTTAGAAACTTGCTATGAATACGGTCTGTTTCCTGGACTCTACGGGAACTCTGCTTTATAAGCTATGTATGTAAGTATTCCAATGTCTGATATATTCTCCCCCCCCCCCCCCAGGATGACGTCAGCTACCCGTCCCAGATGGCTCACGGCGCAGGCGTCATCATGTACGCCATCAGCGTCGGCAGCGTCAACATGAACGAGCTGAAGCTGATCGCCAGCGCGGAGAGGTACATCACCACGGTGTCAGACTTCGACGCGCTGTCAACACTCACACTCAGCCTCACCGAACAAATCTGCCGTGGTAAGTACTCTCCAAGCAGAGGTTGGTGGGGGAAGATCGTCACCTTTCTATATATGACCCGTTTTTTGTCGCTACCCCCCAACAAACGACAAAAACAAAAACGGCATATTAGTATATAGAAAGGTAACGATCTTCCGCCGCCAACCTCTGCTTGGAGAGTAGCGGTAAGACCTCCTCTGACTACGTTTTGCGTGTTTAGATGTACCTAAGTCATAGAAAGTGTCGCCAATCGCTACATGGTTGAGCCATATTTGTAGCCTTTTCTAGAGTTCAGATGATGGTACTGTACAGCAAATAAAACAGGAAACCAGTCACTTGCTACTTTCATCGCATGCAGCCTTGATCAGTGTTGCCTTTTCATTCACCTTCATTTCCTTCTTCCCCGACCTTCCCTCAAAGGCAAAGACTTGAATGTTTTCAATCTCAACAGCTACTTGGACTCGACACTGTTGTTTTTCCAGGTGCTGCTGACACCTGTCAGGTGCCAGTGCTTCAGTTTGAGGACTGTCTGAGTGAAATGTTGTCCAAATGTTACTCCCTGGACGGACATAACAGCAGGGTCGTCCGGGTCGAGTCAACAGGTGGGTACAAAACTGTAAATACTTTCAGGAATGCCATATCATCGTGCTGTAGGACCTTGAAAAAAATCGTAGCCTCTACCAGGCTTCGGGAGGCGGCTGAAAAAACGTAGAAATCGGCCAAAAACTGAAATAGAGAGATAGCATGCCATGGGAGTTGGTCTGCTGGGAGTTTGCCAACTCCCCTGGCATGTTATCTCTCTATTTGGCTGATTTCTACTCTTTCCAGCCGCCTGGTAGAGGCTAGAAAAATCGAGCACTGTTCCTGACGAGAATATATTTCTTAAGACCATCTAAAGTCTTGAGTTTAACGTCCCCCAGGTAACGCCAACACCTGTGACATCCCCATACGGCAGTACGAGGAGTGCGCCAAGGAGGCCATCTCCACATGTAACCGTGTGCGCACGCGCGGGCGAGCCAACAGGGGGAAAAGGTCGGCGACGTTCGGCTCTGACGGTAAGTCAGGATAATGTTTGCACTTCATTCTGTATCTGTATAGCCCAGTATAATCACCCTTCGGCGTAACACACCAGCTTCGCAGGCACGATGCGCGGCGGCAGCTGGGTACATTACACCGAACAACTTCAACACCTAACTCTAATCATTATCAAGATTGTCCATTTGTCAGTGTTTGTATACATCTAACACAAGTCAGTGTCGTTTTCATGCACTGTAAGAACATTAGACAGAGCGGTAGATAGAGACCGTTTGTGTACCCATGTTTTTCAGCATCGTATTAAGCTTAGTAAACTGCCGTTCCAGACGGAGACACGTCCAGAGGTGTGCCTGGACTGTCCGCCGTCGCCGCGGTGGGGGCCGTGGTCATCCTGACGCTCGTCGGGCTCGGCGTCACGCACTGCCTCAAGAAACCCACAAGAACGGCGAAATGATTCCCGCCAGTGCTGACAACAGTTGTGCATCGGCTCCAAACTTGTGTAGAAGACAGTTGAGTCTTGTCGATCCTTTACAAGAAAGGTTCTTGTGTAGCCTGCACTCCCAGATGTATGTTCGACAGTCTGTGAAGAATATATCCTACTTCTAAAACTTGGAACTTCACATGCAGCTCTAGTAAGGGATGAGGAAAGATTTGAGGTAACGTGTAGCGTGTATATCTGATGGATCCGATGATAGAGAGAAATGTTATCTTAGCTGCACTTATTTCAAAAGGGGCTTTCTGTAAGAACATCAACAAGAAATTACAAAAAAGAGTTTCGACAACCACCGATCGGTTTTGAGTATTTTTACATACCCATGTAGCTATCTGCTGCAATTTTACAAACGTCGTAACATTGACAATTCCGGCAGCTTGTCGTCATGTGTTGTACTGAGAACCACAAGAACCACGAGACTGCGTCTTCTGAAGCATGCAGCGACCGTTTTCGTCTTTCTGAACTAGTCCACTACAGGGTACCCAAGTAATACACAATGTCCAATTAGGTATGACGACGAGCTTTGGTTAGGTGAGATGGCCAAAAAGTCGTTAGTTTTTCGTGAGAAATGATTGGATGTGTTTACATTAGCTTGAACCGTTTTGTGCCGAGGTTGCCTCGAATTAAGCTCTGATTGGGTGAATAAAAAAGAAACTTTATTTTTGAAAAGGCGAGAGACGTCGACAGTTAGCTGAGAGAAAAAACTTTCTTACATTGAATTACAACTATGTCTAAATGTTATAAGACTTACTAAACGTTGGTGGCAATGCTTGTTTATTGCATGAGAGACAATGTATACTAGTCCTAATTGATAAGTTAACCACAGTACATAAACATGATATATAGGGAGATACCAGTACTTGATAGTGTTGTAGAGAAGCCAACGTAGAGTTTGGTTCTGTGTTACGTGACCACACTACATTCCTAACCAATAAGTTGTACAAATAACACAGGAAAAATATTATAATGGCAATAAGTAACAATATACAATTATTAGAAAGTATATACATGTACAACATAGTGTGGAATGCTAGTCCTTAAAACTACTGTCCAATTTATCATCATATTTTTCATACAGAAATCTTTTGAGTACATGCACAACTTTAGTACTAACAATACTCATACTGTAGGAACATTCAAGGATTGTCCAAAATATCAGATTTGATGCATGTATGTTTGTAATGTTCAATTAAAGTGACTTCTAGTGAATGCTCTGTATTCTTTTCTTCTGAAGTTTTGTCAGAAATTTTATATCGAGCACTGTCCATCGGACTATAGAAGTATATATGTTTTGATATTAGTGTTGCCACCACCACCAATTTCACACACAATGTGAACATCATGGTCCAATCCTGTTAATGTCACTATATCATCTGTCACTAGATGTATCAGGAAGAGCGTGGTTAAATGTATTGAGGTCTAGTGTGTTTTATTTTCTATATCTTGACACACTGTATCTCTGAACAATAGGTCTTACTTTGTCCTCATAGATTCATTCAGTCAATGCATCGCCACCCAAGTTGTTTGAACAAACGTTTTATTTACAAGAGTAAAAAAAAACTATGATACACTTTGCAACAGTTAGTCATGGTTGTAGAAAGTAAAACCATGCGTCCCGCACATGATGGAGAAACAAACCTTACGTTTCGGTTTTGCATAGTGAAAATTACAGCGGAAGATAAAAAGACGACTACAAATAACCTTACATGTTACACATGAGGACATGGTGACGACCAGCGTAGTGTCCACATCTACTCTAACAACAGTATTTAGTCTACCCCTAAAACATTCAAATCTTCCAAATAGTAATCGGTCGAAACAAAAATTATGAAAACTTACACCACCTTAATGGCCACGATTCTTGAGTACATTATACTTTCCCTCTCTATCACTAAAAACGATATTCCACAGGGAGCTAAACTAAATTTTGCAGGAGTTGACTATTAAACTTTAGAGAATGGAAGACGCTGTCTATAAAAAAACTTGTTAATGTGCAATCTTTTCATCTAGAACTTGTGCGCATACATGTACAGCAATGTCTGAATTTCTGAACATCATATTCTTAAAGCAACACTTTCTCCGGCCCTATGACAATTGCGCTTAAAAGAGCAACAGTTTTGCAACTAACACTGAGAGAAACGAAGGCAAGACTACGCTAGGGACCAGGCTGACCCCGCCGTTGATGCCTACCACCTGACATGGCGGCAGTTTGGGCGTGGTCTCCTCTACCTGCATCATACAGCCGAACCAGTACTGCGCGGTGGACTTCGGGTAGCCGGGGTCCACGCTGAAGGACGTGTCGTTAAAGCGCCAATACTGGCTGCCCTGTGGAACGGATGGAACACAATGTTATACTTATAGATAGATTGCTCCTCTGGGTTTTTGTCACATATATAGACTATTAGTGAATACATGTGTTACGTTCAAAATCGAATTTTGAAGTATAGCTAAGTAAAGTTTCTGTACATCGTACCAACACATTGGACGTGGTATGCGTTGAGTAAAACTATGTAAAATGTGGTATAATACTTCATTACTCTGGCCTAATTTAAGATTTTAAAAAATGAGCAGTTGTCTGACCTTGAAGAAGTATGTCCTGCCGTTCATCCACTGCAGAACTGCGTCCACTCCGTCCTCGGGAACACCGTTCCACACCGACAGGTCACGTGGGTAGCCCCTGTCCACACCCACCCCGGCTCGGTAACGGTAGTACTGGTCGTCTGCGAAGAGACAACACAACGTCATTATTTCATATTACTAGTACTGTAGCAACTGTGAGTATCACTTCACTGTACTGAGACAAGCACGTTATCTATCAGAAGGCTCTTGTAGAATGTCCTTGATTGAGAAAGCATTAGAGTAGTACTAGTATATCATAAAACATTAGCTAGTTTTCCACAATGTAGATAACCCAGCTTCTAACTCCCGAGAGACAATCCACCATTTCCTTCAGAAGGAAAACTAGCTAATGTTGTGGAAAACTAGCTAATGTTGTGGAAAACTAGCTGGTGTTTTATTATACATGTATACTACTCTAATGCTCTCTCAATGGAGTGAAGAGATATAAGTTCATATTGTGTGTGACATGAGGTTATGAGGTTGATGCAAATAGATGCGTTTGATTTTCACATAACATAACACATCTAATCTAATCTGAAAGTAATTTCAGGAGGGCTGTTCACCTTTGGTGAAGTAGAGCCTGCCGTTCCCAGACCAGATGAAGGCGGTGTCGACGTCTTCGGGGACTCCTCCCCACTGGCTGATGGGGCGGGGGTAGCCCTGGTCCTGCTGGGTGTTGGTGTAACGCCAGTACTGGTCACCCTGGGGGAATACGTGGGGACTAGTTAGTTGGTTGAAAAAAAGGTAAAATTTAACTAACGTTATGTTATGACCAGAAACTTGCGCTAATAAGAGACTTTGGAAATTTACAAACACGGGCAGGCTTCTTATGTGTGACAGGCTGAATAAAAGTTTTTAAACGGGAACTGTGGCTCCAGATGTCTTACCGAGGGACGACTGCGTGTGCAAGATGTCGGTTAGCTGAGGAATGAATCCCCTCGAATTCATACGAGCAGGCTTCTTATTTACACCTAACTAGAAAGTATTTCTGTATCATGTGTCATATCATATTACTATATTATTAAATATTACTATGATTTACCTTGTAGAAGTAGATTTTCTGGTTGCGTCTGTAGTACACAGCGGCATCCAGGTCTCCGGGAAGATCGCCCCACACTTCAGAGATTAGCTTGGGATATCCGTCAGCCATACCGGCGGAAGTCAGCTCCCAGAAGTAGTTCCCTGTCAGCAACAAGTGAGATCAGCGTGTCATAACCTGCATTCTACTTAGTCTCTACCAGACTAACTACGCTGGCTATATATAGGAGAATATTTGCCAGGGGAGTTTGACCGCCTTGGTCGGTTTGACTGGCCGCGAGGAAAGAAACGACCTTCCGCGGCCGGACTTCCATGGCCAATTTTACTCTCCTTTTTGTGTTTTTCTTAAGAGACGCAATTTGGAAATCAAGTGCGGATAACTGTAGTTCGCTGCTGAAGCGACAGGGTGCAGGTGTTTACCTTTGAAGGCGTAAGTTTTGCCGTCTGCTGAGATGGTGATGGCGTCCAGCTCTCCGCTGCAGGTGTCGGGAACGTCAGGGTTGGGGTTGGGGTTGGGTGTCATGCCGGCGTCGGGCCGTGGGGTGGGGCGCTCCATATCCGGCATACCTATGAGGTGGAAAGCAGTTAAGATACAATCTTTCAAATCACGTCATGTGTACCTATATTATGGTCAGTATTGTGAAGAGATTGCTAACTGACTCTACAAATGAAACAAGGAATACAAGACAAGAAGTCGTCTAGAATATCCATACCAATTAATCGTTAAAATATGAAGAACCATAATTATTAATTCGAAGTAGGCTTCTCAAACCAATATACCACCCGATTATTGAATATGTGTCGCAAAACTACTTCAAAGAAGACTGAGTTGAAATCTCCGCTCACCATACAGCATCTGTATCCCTGCGATGTCGTCGGAGTGGAGCACCAGGTTAGGCTCGAAGCCTCCGTAGAAGGGCGCCATGAGGGCGTCCGATATTTCGGAGTGGGACAGACCCAGGGAGTGGCCGAACTCGTGAGCTGCCACTTGCAACAGGTTAATTCCTGTGGGGAAAGTGTAATCATGCAATGAACATAACGTTCCGCTTTCAGTGGTCGCTACGTAATGAAATATGAATTCGTACATAAGTGGAACTCCTTTCAGATGTGGTAATAGTTACGACGTAAAAACTCTTCCGCTTTCCAATTTCTTGGTCAGGCGGATTTCTCTAGTTTCTGGAACTAGGGAAACGATGTCAATTTAGTACTTCTAATGAACCGTCAAAAAGTGGCTTGCCAAGCTTTGTATCTTTGTGTGACTCCTCACTAGCCAAAGGGTTCATGAACGTCACCAGAATGAGAAAAAAAAGGCAGGTCAGTGAAACGTCTCAGTTTGTACCTGAAGAGGTTCTGACTGTCCACTGTTCCGACTCGTCGAAGTGGGCGTCTCCTCCGAACTGCGGGAAGAACGCGTGGGCCAGGGTGCCGCCGGGTCCGTCGAAGGGCGCGCCGTCCCCGTGATCGATGGGAGTGAACCTGACCACGATGTCAGCTCGGTTGGACGGGTCCACTCTGGTGAACGTCAGGGGGGTCTGGTCTTGCCACAGCTAACCAAGAAAAAAAAACTACGTTAGTATCGAGAATCAATACAAATCTATACCCCCGTCGAGTCATACCAACAGTTGCCACAAACTCAATTTCAACCTAGAACGATAAATAAATTCACTGATGAATCAGCCAAAAGAGATCATATCTACAGAATGTGTCGTTCATCTGCAGTACCTGAAAGGCCTGCGTGATGGCCTCGTCCACGTCGTTGCGTGGCAGGTCACGTGTGTAGTCGTCATCAGCCAGACTCCAGGTCAGGTCCCTCTTGGGCCAGGAGCTGCCCTGCAGCGCGTACCGGCGGCGGCGGCGGGCCATCCCGCGCGAGTTCGTGCCCATCATGTCAGGCACACCGCAGCGGGGCATCTCCATCATCCTCGTGGTCTCAGCGTCCATCACACCTGAAGGCACCAAAAAATTCTTGTTAACATCATGTATTCGCCTACACTCTGTTTGCATCTTTACATGCCATTTTATCTAATGCCATTTTGACTGATCTGGAAACGTTTCAATTTCCCCGTTTTAGAGCGGAAATTCGACTCGACTTCCTCTTAAAAAGCCTCATCACCATGTACAGTAACATTTCTTATCGTCTTGAACTTGAAGGAAATAGTCTGTTTACTTTTTGGCATGTTACATGTATAAATGTGGATGCTGATTCATAGCTGATGTATATTTAGCACACTGTTTAAACTTAGCAGTTTCCGATCCTTCCTCCCATTCCATAAACGATCATGTTTAAAACAGTGCCCAATCACATTCTTTTCGATAGACACCTGCTCTGCAACAAGCCTAAAATAGAATAGTATTATTGTAATGAAGACATGGTCATTCTTGCAATGCATTGTACCCCGTACAACTGTCGAGCAATGAAGCCGACCATCCATGATTCATATAGAGCTGAGGAACGTGTAAGTAACTGTTGATGTGTCCTCTAACCCACAACCTACACATCTATCGACTAGCTAAGACCAAGACTAAAACATTTGATGCTACAGGAAGACACAGAGACGCCTGGTCACGACAGCTTGGCCCAGTTTCTCAGGCATGAGGTTAGGGCTGTTATCAGTAACAGGCAGTCACTGCGTTTTTTCACGACATCGCAAAGATAAACAAAAGTAAGAACAGTTGTTCAGGTGAAACATTTGGGGCAGTTTAAAGACAGATATATTAAACAGAGTATATGATAGAGGTTGTTCTGTTTGTCTATAAAAGTCTTACCCGTCACTGTAATGTTGGCGAATTCCTGGAACATGGAAATGGCTTCCCTCATCTCGTCCGCGCTCTGGAGCTGGCCGGTCTGCATGGACGGTGGGTTCATGTACCCGTAATTCATCAGGTAGTTCTGTGGAGCAGACGCGTAACAAGTTGTCAATCATGTCTGAAATCTCAGCCAATGAGTTATTCTCTAATAATCCACGTCGGCAAAATAAAGCCCCATTTGGTTAGCGTTAATGTATGGAGGTAGAAAAATTGCATGGTTAATGTCAAAAGCTGTCCCATTTCTGTTAAAATGGTGCACCCCTTCCCTGATTTTATTTATTTTTATGAACAAGTGATTCTATAAACATCCTCTTTCGGCCTTCGGACGTGGCATAAAAAAGGGGAACTGGTTGGACAACACTGTCTAATCCAGCTCCAGACGCGACCTACAAAGGAATGATAACAACCTGTAATATGATAAACCCTGGCTTTTTCTCTGCCCCACGGCAGCAAACATTTCAGAGGGTTCGTTTGGTCAGCCGCTTTCTGGTGGGTGGGGTTGGAGTCATGGGAAAATAGGTAATTTGTCTCCCCTAGGGTTTCACATTCAGAAAATGGTTCCCACAATCTTGTAACATTACCTTTGTCATGGTAAATACAAAGGTTTTTTTTTCTCAGTTCGCTCTGCGTTTGGTCTGCAGAGAGTCGCCAAGCCCATTTCCAAGCGCAAATGGAACTGCCCTTTACAACATTCCATTGACAAACAAGGTGCACCTGCCATGAATCAAGCAGCTTAAACAGCTTCTTGTTTGAAGCTCCTTGGTGCAACACTTAAACCTGCTGTTTTGCTTCCGAAATGCCTTTTGTTTTGTAAATTTCACAGAGATTCCGTTCATAAACAAAATCATACTACATGTATAACGTTAGATAGAAATAAAGAGTTGCTTCGAAGACCTCAAGAAACACCAAGATAGCGTTCTGTCTTCAAATGGCAAGCAAATTGGAGTGGGAACAGGTGACGTCATTTTTTTGGATCAAGCTTAAGTCAAAAACTTTCATGGTGGGCTGACACTGAGGCGGGTTTATAGGCCCTTGTGTGGTAATTAGACCAGAGTTGTCGGACTCTAACCATCCACACGGGCCCCGTCAGGATGCACTGTTGTCGCCACTTGTGACATGGCCCGGTGATAATGCTCGTCACGGCATGCCGTTTAACTGAGAAAGTATCTAGCGTCTTTTCTTAACATCCTGTTTTCGGGATCAACATCAAACAACCTTGTGTGGTGCTGAACAACTCAGCACATCATAAGATGTTCTCGGTTTTTGAAGATTGGCATAACAATCGTTGCATGAATCGGCGTTCTTCCTTTGTTTTTCTAAAAGTACCTGGGGGGATCTTAAGCTTTATCTGTACATCTCCTCATCCAAGCTCGAGCTAGCTTTTAGCGACCTTATGTTAAAACATGTTAACAAAGTCGGTTTGGGCAGTAACAGTGCAACTTAATTGTGATCCAGTCGTGTTAGTCGGGACCTACCCTGGCCTGTTACTGTGGCTGGTACGGAAATGTCTGGCGAATGCCAGATATCAGACATGCGGAACCAACAACTTCGCCGCTCTGGGACTTACAAGCAATGTGTTCTTGTTACAAGCAAGGAGGTTTAAACTTGATTCCATCTGTGGGGATTATGCAGCAATCTACGGATGAAATGTAGCGCCTTCTGTCTGGAAAACTGATACTAATGGGGAGACATACACTACAGTCACTAGAACTTAGTTTTAAAGTATTATCGGATCCCGGAAGAAACATGTTCGACTTACCATTCCCTGTTTCATGCTCATGTCGGCCATCGCGCAGCCGAAGGCGGCCGAGAACAGCACGGCCAGATACATGTAGGCGTTCATCTTAATGGTCCTCTCAGTAGACGATAAAGGTCTTGACGATTTGAAGCAACTTCTGTCTTCGCTGTGCAGGTAAACTCTGAGGCAAGCCAGGAACGCCGCCCCCTTTTGTACTCTCACAGGTCGGCTGCCTCAGGTGGGTGCGTCATGGTACTGGCCATTCCAAATATGGTCATAGCTTTGTCTACAGGTAGGCGGAGCTACGGCGTACGTCATAAAGTGTAAGGTGATTCGTCCCAAATGAACGACTCACTACAAGCAGACAAAGGGACCGACAATAGGTGGCCAGGTATACTCAGAAGGGAGAGCTATATTTAGCCACGTTAGTAATGACTGTGGTTCGTTCTGTGAAGCCATCAGGATTGTAGGGAAGTTGCCAGTGCCAGCTAACGAGTGACACAGCGTTTTTTCCATGATTAAGTAGGTTTATATGGAAGGAACAGCCAATGACGTCTTCTGTTTTCTTCTGATATAGACACCACATCCTTATCAACAATGGATGCAAGTTGTATTTGTCATTGTAACATCTATTGTAATTGCCCTTCTTCATTGTATAGATGATGATTGCATCGAAATAAACGTATCATTTAAGAACATAACATAACATAACGATTTGTCATGAAGAAGTTATGCTGGACCTATTCACGACATCAACATGCGACTGTACCATTACTAAACTCGATGATATACAGGAAAGTAGTTATCGCTGTCAATCGCGTGACTTCATGGACGTGCGCATGGTGGTCGTTTTGGTGGTTTTCGTTGGTACTTTTGGACTCAAGTATTTAAAGTACACAAAGTTGACATGTATGATGTAACTACAACAAGCCCATACCATGTTGGCTTTATTTACCGAAAAGACAAGACGCCAAACTCGCTTATACCAAGGAGCAACCTCCTTGCTTATACCAGTTGTTACTCCTAAATATCGTTTTTGGAGTAGTGTACGTGCACAGTATACTTGTAATAGTAGTACATTTCCTGCTAATATTTAGAAGCTATACACATGCATTTGTTGTTACAATAAACTATACATTGTTTTTATCATCAACTATGCACATGTTCAAAACAAGTCAGTGTGCTTCCCGGATGTCACCTCCTCATTCACCGAATTCCGCCGCCCGACTGTTGACGACAGGATGACTTTTGACCTCTCCTACCTGTACCCACAGTCGTCGGTGACTCGTGACTGTTCTGTTGTATATATCCTTACGAGGTCACGTGTGTGCTTTCTTCGTACAGATTTTATTGTATAAATGGTTAGTCATTAGTCATGTGTTTAATACTGAAAATTAGTGGTTGCTGTGTACCTGTACATTCCGTTTCAGAAGCCATAACGTCTATAGTCCCCGATGGGATTTCTGGTTCGGTAAACCGCGGATTTGATGTGTAAACATCACTACATGCCTGTGGGGTGGAACTGTATCCGTCTGTTGACGAGATATATTTGTTTGCTGCGACATTCGCCTGACCTGTAGAGTACTGAGAAGTGTAGACTGTAGAGCTCCTTCTAAACACACACTCTGGCCTGGTGAGTAATCAAAGGTCGTTAACCTCACTTGATGCTTTGTTCCCAGCATCATTCAGAGATTGAAAACCTGGGAGGTGACGCTACTTGTTTCAGAGAAGGGAAACAATGGTGCCCCCTTATACCCTTTACGATGGTAAAAGTAAAAAATGATGAGAAAAAGAAATATCAGCATAATGTTCTCATCATCATCATTTCCACTCTACCATCCTCTATAACGGTAACAATATGGCCATGAGGACCGTACAGCTTTCTGAAAGAATAAATTTTTACTAGTCTTGTGCTTGCTGGTATTCAATGCTTTCACAAACAAACATGAATCAATTTATTTTACGTATGTGTTTCCCTCGCAACTAGTCTGGAAAAAAATAAGGTACAATCTTCACAGACACTAATCGTGTTTGTTACCGCTTGGTACCTAATACTAAGGCAAGTTCCTTTATGTTTCCAGTAAACTTCATAGTGTCATATAACTTGATCTGCATCTGTGGTTATCCGACAGAAAACGTCTTCAGGCTGACCCTTTATTTTAATGTAATTACGATCTTAATGCATATAAAGAATTCGAAGAAATGCTATTAAATATTTCCTGTCCATCTGACGTCACAAACAGACGCGTGACGCTCTTACCGAGTTGTGAGAAATCGCCAGCGGGCATCTTCATTCTTATGATGTAACCGGAAAACGCCTGGGGTAGGTTATTCAAAGGAAACCTTCCATCTACTTATACGCCAATTACTTGACATGTACACGTTGCCCGCAAGCGGTGAGTGGCAGATTGACGTTCATCTACCTTCATATTATTCTCCAATAACCGCACTGCCAATGTACGTGTAGGGGGAGACCTGACATGAAATAGGGCAAGTTAGAAGGAGGTTACGATCTTGTCACACAACCTCTGCTTGGAGAGTGCCTTTATACGGCTGACACAGGCATATGGTCAGAGAACAACCAAAGTTGTTCGACAGCCTGCATTTGCAGGCGCAGGCCGCTAGCTGAATGTACCCGGTCGGCTAATCTCCAAGCAGATCCTAGGGTGGCAAAAAGACCGTATCAAATTGGCCAGGCAGTATCCATTGGCCAGAGATCTTCCCTCATCAACCTCTGCTTGGAGAATAGCGGTCGGCTACAGCACCATGAATCCATTCTCGCTGTGAGCACTTTTATCGAGTATTATGGCTGGCTGAAGGAATTAATTTTATTACAAACAGTTGTGCGAGATGCAAATTTGTATGGCAAGTTTGATTTACAAGTATTTTCTAATTCGAACGAAGAATCCAGTCTTTTCTCGTCCAGTTCATCGGTTCAAGGAGGCCACACCAGTTTCCCAGAAGTTCCTATCCAGCATGACAGTCTACTCTACATATGGCAATGGCTGGTATATACTCTACATACTAGAGGCAATTAGAGACGAAGATGAAGAGAACGATGTCTGTTCCTAGTTTCCTTTGTTCACGTCAGTCTTCATGATGCAGTTTGACATTAGACCGATAGGTGGCGGCCATAACAAATGAGTCACGCGGCTAAAGGCATTAGTTTGTCTAGATGAGGTCTAGATGAAAGACAGAACTAGATATCCTGCTGATCTGAGCAATACATGTCCTGCCTACCTGCCTAATTGCACAGGCCAGGTACTGGCCCCTTGCTCCCCTCCGTCAGGCTCCTCCAACCAGTTCTGTCAAGGGTAATAGTCTCTGCTACACTTAGAGTAATCCCTGTGTCACATGTATTACAATATAAAACCATAAGGGTCTAGTTTTTGAAAATAGAAAAAGGTGCTTTTATCCTGCCCACATACCAGACAGTTGGACCAGACAGTACACACAAAATGACCTCAGGTTCTCAGATATCCATGCCTCATTATAACCACGTGCACTAAAACAAGTGAGAGTACATTTTGAATGACATGGAAAAGTCTAGATGTTTCTCTCTTGGCGCAAAAGTGAGATAAGAATGTACCAAAATTTTCATTCAAAAATTCTAAAATGATACGAGTAACCAGGAACAAACTACGCCCCCCCTGTATACATAGCTGCGCAACTTTGGTGCTTCTCCTTGAACTTGTTCAAGAAATCCACTTACAGATTTATTACAAACAGCTCAATTTGCCTGCGCCGCTGCTGCCCAATACACTTAAACATGACAACCTGCTCAGGGCCTGTTCCTCTCCTTGGTGCTGATCGGCATTCACACGTGCACTAAACCAGTATGCGGACGGCTAATGATCACAGCTCAGAAAATTTCACTTAGGGCGTTGTTCCACGGTTAATCGTCCGCTGAGGCCACATATACACTGTACGCTGGAAGATTTCAGATTGACATTTCCTTTGATTACCACACACGTTTTGCCGCAGGCAATATGGTGAACAACAAGAGGTCTTTTCAGTCCTCTTGAATCACAATGCACAGAACGCTGTGAGGATGTTGTTATTTTTGCACGGTAGAACGTGCGTCGTCCGTCACGTGTTACGCCTCCGAACCACGCAGGAACAAACAGTTCGTAATAAGTGAGTGCCGAACGTACAAACAAAAATAGCTTGCTTTGTGGCTGACATATACCCATGAAACCAGACTCTGTTGTGGAAAATTTGCAAGAGTGTGTGGGCGGAATGTTCCTCAGCAACCAAGGAGCAGCGGTGCAGGTACCGCGCAGCCAGCTACCTCCCTCTGAGCTTGTTGCTGCTGCACCCACGTAGAAACTCCTTCAGCCATTTCAGCCAGCTCGTTTGTTTAGGTTTTTGCTTCGGAAGCTGGACTTCTCCCATGTGCCTGGTCCTGATAAACGTCAAACCCCGTTTCCGTCTGTTGGTGAAGACATTGCCGACTGCAGACGGCTGATTTTTCTGCTGCGTCGCTCAGAGAAAAAGGCAAGTAATGTTGGCTCTATCTCAACCCATGTGTGTTGTTTCAGGAGAGGGGGGAGGTGCTGAAAAGACATAGTGGGAAGTCTTTATGTTCACCTGAATGCATCGAAGGCGACAGTACAGTTATCCCCGAGTACTTTCATTGTCATGCCTGTGGACCCATCACAACGATTCCCTCCCGCAGTTTCCCGGTAATGATGCGGTTTGATTGCAAAAATGTCTTCCTGTAGTTTCATAGCAATGATTTCGTAATGCCATAGTAACATTTCCTTCCTGTAGTTGTTAGTACGAGCTCAGCTATGTAACTATGCATGCTTTAGGTCAGCCAGCTATAATGTCTATTGAAAATGCTGCTTACCCGGAATTAGATTCTAATTATCTTTCTGTCCCCACAAGTGAAATGGGCACAGCTATAGCCTGTAGGTGTTTGCTATTTTGAAACCATCAAGCAGATTTTTTAAGCTGTCCCCATGGCGTGTTCTTGTACCAAGCCGCGCGAAGCCCCGGGAAAGAATGTAATCTGGGCAGCTCATTAAGATTGGCAGTTTACCTTAATTCTCCCGATTGTATACATGGCCATAACGAGCAGAGAAAAGTACTGAGCTCTTTGCATTTAAGAAGTTATTTGACTCAAGTCGTGGGCAGCGTTGTCCTTGCCGGAAAATTGCCCTACGCCCACTCCCATCTTTCCCTTGATTCCTTTCAAAATCCTGCTTTTACTCGGATCATTAAATAGCATTTCCCTCGAAGCAGCGTGAAGTGTATCCTGAAAGACAAGTGAGCCTGAGCTAATGAGATTCAACTAAGCAGTTACAGCCTGGTGTGTATGGATTTTTAACCACAGGAAATCTCCTTATGAATTATGCCTGCCAAAAAATCACAACAGAACTATTTTGACAGAGAGGAGGGTCTGGGAACTGAAATAATAT